GGGCAGCTCTGAGGACATAGATTGGAAGTGAAAATTGACCCTCTCTGAAATTACGTAATCACGTCTGTCCAGACCTCACAGGATTATACTCATATGTACTGACATATGCTGATCCGACACGCCTTGTTGGCGCTTTGGTGTCTCTGCAGCATTCCAGTCATTCTTTACGTGTTGGTGAGCCCGCCTGATTAGGGCTAATTAGACAACTATCGTTCTGTCACTTGTGTGAATGCAAGTGCTTCATAGTCCTTTTCCAAGGTGGAAAGAGAGAGAATCAAACCTTATATCGCGACTAATCACATCCATTGAATAACTTAGCTCTTCAGATCCTTACACATATTGATGTAGGCAAAAATTTCTACGCCATCGGAACCACTTGCAATACTGGAAAGAGAGCTGTAATACCAACAGCAACTGTCTTGATGGCTATGCCGTAGCTAAGACGAAAATGGATATGGGCCAGGCGGGTTGGGGAAAGTAGGTGTGTGCGGTTTTGGTTCCTCCCGTCACTTTGACATGGCACTCACCCTTGATGTGTCCGCCCCCACCATGTAATACGAATTCCACGCAGTTGTTCCTTACTTCCATGACTCACTTCTCTGCAATGAACGTTAAGCGCCAACTGTCTGTGACACAACTTCTGTTACGTGGCTATTGCAGTCCATTTGGGTTTGTGATAAATGCCTCTCTTCAACGCGCATAATCAACACTTCACATAGAGGGACAGAATTTACTAAAACAAAAAATACAAACAAAAATAATCGTCTACCGAAGTTGTATCATAGCCACTCAGAGAAGGCCTGAAAGATGACAAAGAAACGTATCAGCACGGAGTCGTTGCTGCTTCCATGAGGCATAAATAGACTTGCTAGGAGTCCGCTTTGCGTGGGATTTGCCAATTAAGCCCACGAATTTATGCATTTCGGATCAAGCTATCTCATCTTCCAGATCGGATGACGGATATAATAAAAATGCATTGGTGGTGCACATGACTTTAGAGGGGTACTAGAGTAATCCTTCCTGCTTTTTGTTGTCTCTAACTGTAAAACAATCTTGGCAGTTACTGGTCTTTGTCCGAAGTACCTGGTCGAAGGTTGAAGCTATAAAGTGAAGTTATTAATGGTGAAGAATGGCTTCTCCAATGGGGGTTGGACGTTCAGCTAGTCGGAACACTTCACGCACTTACTGTCCATTTTGGCGACAGAAAGTAGTAAGAACGAAAAACAGAAATTGCTGTTAAAGTCATCGTTTAAAAGCCAATCTATTACCACAGGAACTACCGAAAACGCGGATTTCTGTGTATGTGAGCGGTTTATCGTTCTCGTCGTACTTACGATAACTACTACCACTGCAGTGACTCGTTTTTTTATTCTCGTTCTCCAAATTCCTCTCTGACAGTTGCTATGACCAACACGAAATCTTCCGCCCCTTAACAGTACTTCAGTGATTGCTACATTGCTAATGAAACTTCCTTTAATTCTCAACCGTTTATAGGAGTAATATTTAATTAAACTCATCCAAAGCGGTCAAATGACGAGACTTCGAACTGTTCAATTTTTTCATTTACAACCAATAGATAGTGCTTCAAAAGCGACGACAATGTATATATCAAGTGGCAAAAGTTTTGCAAAAACATGGTATTTGGCTCCATCCTCCCTTGAGGTTTGATGAAATTTGTTTGCATTCGAAAATTGAGGCTATTTGATCCCTCTTTGTCTGCGAGGTCCTTTTTTAAAATGAACAAGAGCTGTTCAATGAGTAAGGCCAAACCGATTGTATGTTAAGGAACTTGAAAGTGCACATCACGGTGTCAGCGCCAAATAAGAGCGTACCAAAGATCTTGCTTATACTAGTCCGTTGGTGCTCTTTAGTAATCCAAGTTGTCATATGAGCACTGTTTACTAAGGATAATCACGCATCACCTCGTTTACCTTGTCCGCAGTACGCCGGTATCTGCTGCTGAGCTACAAGCCTTATTGGAACTAGGTGACACCCTTGACTACTTGCCCATTAACGGCCCCAAAGCCAGTGACACACTCATACGACAAACTCTGCCATAAGGCGTCGGCCATTTGAGGTTCGTCACCATGAAACCGCTTCTCAGGAAGGTTCTGCTAATTTATTACCATTGTCAGCAGAAGGGCTAGGATCTGCAAGTAAGTTTATTCCTACTACGTCTCTATGTTGGCCTTGTCGGTTTAATCAATGGTGTCTATTCCCAGGCTTCAGGAAATCGCAACTGTGACTGCCGAAACACTAAAAGTGTTGCTCCATATTCTCATCTAGCACAGACCTCTCAAGTCCACAGCAAACAAGACACGGCACATAACTTACTCGTTATATCCATCTCTCAGCAATTCATTGTCTTCAGTTGTTGACACCTTACAGTTCTTGGTCTACTTAGCACTTTAAAGTTCGATCTCACCCAAACAAGTAATCCGCAGCGATTTATTGTCTATTAGGCAGCAAGAATTACTTTAATTCCCCTCATTCCAGTTTTGACGCGCCCTACCCCCATTGGTGGGCCAGCGTGGACGTGTTCTTCCAATCGACGCCTCTTTTAAAAGAAAAAGAAGCTATGGAAACAGACGCACTCGTCAACATTAATTAAAGCGGAGTCGGTACTAGCACTGCTGCTGATTTGTTATACATTCTTCAAGAGACCATTAAAATCGACTCTTCTACTTCCTCCAGGCATCACATCCCCGTAAGGGGGAGGAGAGGGAGGGGAATGATGGAAATTGTAAATGACAAATGGAGTAACCGCCTTTTACACATGAAGAAATAAAGTTAGGCGTAAAAAGTGATGACTAATAAAATTTGAAATATTTTGGTTGTGACAAATCCTACCACAAAGGTGTGACGAATGTCCTCTATCATATCACTGTCACTGATCTCTTAAAAGCACCCTAAAAGTATATTAATTCTGGTGTTGAGCCCAATCGGATCTCATTTCATTTCCAACCCCATAACTTCAAGCAAGTGGGTTCCATAGTTTCCACTTTCCTACTCATTGTTTCCTCGAGTGGTATCAGCACTCTTTACAACAATTGTTAGCCAACCACCTTATCGCTCTTGAAGAGGGAACTCTGTAAAAGAGCTTTTATTCCCCTCCACCCCAAGTACACGTGCCGACGGCGATGGATTTATGTCCCGACTTACCTTTTGCCTACTACAATAAAGCGCACGACGAAGTGCTCTTCGCCTTTGATGCAATTTGCGCATAAATTGCGCAGTCGCCTTTGCCCATCCCTCTGTAGCAATTCTTTTCCTAAATTGCGAGTTTGTTCCTCAAGGCCACTCTTGTCGGCCACTCTCTATCATTCTCAGGCAAATATCCCAGCTCTGAATTTTAGTCCAAATTATGTCAAAGGCGGGCCATGTCCTTGTTCAATTCCCTCCTCGCAAAAAGGGCAAATCAGTGACCTGTGGTTGCAAGTGTGAACAATGTTGGGAAACAGCAAACTTTCCGAGACATCTTTCAGGCCATTGGACATCTCAACCCATGGGCAAAAGGGTCGCAATAAATTTCGGCTCGTTCCCGTTTCCAGCCTTTGACAGTGTTTAAGGGAATAAAGATGATATGGGAGGAATCCTCGATGGGTTAGGTGGGCCACTGCACGCCCTTGCGTTTGAGTGGAGAAGAATGCCTCATTCACTACGGCGATGCTGCTCTAGATTAGTGCAGATCCCCAACCACTGATCGTCCTTTGCGCCATTTGTAAACCTTTCTAGTCTAGCGTTTAAAGCATGGCTCGAATATACGGAAGCAAAACAACTTCTTACTGTGGTTCTTCGTGAAGAAAACTTTGTTAGCACAGTGGCAGGACAGCATATGAGACTTAAAAAATGAGATAAAGTCATTTGCCAAAGAATTGCCATGAAATCGAATGCCACCAGTACGATGACAAAGATGGAAGAGCATTGATAAGGAGGATGTTTAGACCGTCCGACGCCAATTTCCGCATAAATGAAGATATTGCTGACTCGGAGAGGCTACCGGCATCCGAGATAACGGAAGTGAACCCAACTTAGTCAGTCTTCCAAGTCAGGAACTCAGAGTTATTCTAATAGCATATCAGTTTGCCGAAATGTTACAACATAAAAGGCTAGAACTTATAAGAATTTTAGAGAATTGAACTGTACCCTATTCAGTATCATTTTCGCAGACCGCCATTTCTCCCACCTAAATCTATGAAGATGATTCTGTAGTAAGAAAAACAAAACCCTCTCCAAAGTGTGCAAGAAAGTTTCCCAAATGCAGTAGCGTCACAAAGTTAAGTCGTCAAACATTCCACCAAAATTTTTATGTAATCTATGACGATTGCTAACCCGGTGGATCGTACAGATTCTCTGATTGGCTACCTGAGCAATCAAAATTGGATGATAAATGTCGCCAACTTTCGAGTTGTTTTGGCTATGTAGAGCCATTTAGCCATTAACCTCTACCCCCAAAAGAAAGAACTAGACAAAGTGAAAGTGTCGAATATCATACAGATTGCATAAGCGGGAAAGGAAGACATGAGTGACAAGATTCTGAGATTCTAAGGGGAAGCTGAACCGATAGATAGCCTTCCATTTCCTCTATCCTCTTGATCACCTAGCTTCGGCGGCGGATAATGTTCTGTACATCTGTCTAATTTGTGTGAATGAGTATGCATATGGCATTTTGGCCGGTCATTGTGATGAAAGGCATATAACATAGCATTGGTAGGTAGCAGAAATAATTTACGACTCTAACGTCGAAACGCCAAGTCTTGCTAAATGCACCTGGAAAGGAAGAAGAGGAGGAAAAACAGAAAATTGCGGCATCATAATTGTCATGGTAATCTGCCTTGCCTAGTGGCTGATCTTTTGCTGTCTATGAACAGTGAGTTTACAGCACTGTCTCTTCTATCCCTAATTTCATCAAGTCAAAAGTTTCGAAATGAACAGAAACCAAAGCTATGTGTATGAGAAGCATGCTGGTGAAATGGGAGAATAAGCAGTAAGCACGCACCCTAGTCTGCCCGACGGGCATAGTAGGATTCTCTGCGAGCGGCGGCAAACATCGATCGAGCGATTTCGAGATCCTCTTTCCGCTCCTCCTCTTGTCTTTGTTGCTGTTCTTCAGCCTCTTTTCGACGCTATAAAAGAAGATATGATGACGTTTTGTTAAGTCACGTGAACTTATCATTCAACTTTTGCCTTTTACATCATCTACTTCAATGTCACCATCTCACTTTTCGACCACTGTTTAAGGTTGTATCCAAAACGAGCTACCTTTTAACCCATCGAAAAGTGAATAAGAATAGAAAAAGGAAGGGAACTTACAAGGTAGGAGCTGCCGCGGCGAATAAGACCCATGATTCCTCCACCGCCTTTCTCTTCTCCACTGGGTGCCGGAATTGATGTTTTGATTTTTCTAGCAAGGGAAGTGAAAAATTTTCAAGATTTCCTAACTTACAAGAAAAAAAAAACAGTCCAAGCCTGGCTGATGGATAAAAAGCATTTAGACACCTTACAACATCTTCGTAAGTAACAATACTCAATGAGTGAGAAGTATGCGAGGTATTGACGTTTGCTCCGATTGGATTGTGCGAGATTTTCAAGCCTCCTTCAACGCTTATCTCCCTCAGGCCCCTTATTCCATTGGATATAAGTGATGTTGAAGTCAAACGGACCAAAATATAATCAGAAATTCTTCAAAATGGAGAGGAATGGTCTTTTTTAAGCTGCTTCAACGCTACAACTCTGATTAGCGCCCAATTGGTTCACTGCAAGGTCGTTTGGATCCAGACAGCCATCCAGAGATTAGAAGCCACGCTGTTGATTCACAAATCCTTTGACAGCTAAAATCAATGGCACTTGCTGATCTCGAAGAGGTGACTCTTAGGAGGCAAAAAGGAACTGTTTTACGGGGATACACGACTTGTCCAGTTATCCAGACTCAAGAACGACCAACTTGCATGCATTATGTATAGGCGCAGTACCTCGGCACAACTACACCTACGCCTTATCGTGGCTTTTGTTTTTCCTTTTGCTTTTTCTATCATAGTCTTCTTGACCATCTTTAATGCAAAATTAATACACTTGATAGAGGAGGAAGGAGGAGAGTACCATACCTCCTTTCCTCAATCAAGCAAAGAGTCGAGTGGGGAAACGATTCCAAAGCCAAATTTCTGCTTCACCTGCAGGAACAAAAAGGACGAGAAAAAGTTGGACATAATTCCCCTTTTATGAGAGCTGAAAAACTACCAAACGCCATTTGACATTATTGAATACGTTTCTCCCTGCTCATCCCCGCCTATAAAGTAAACTTCGTTAGAGGGCTTTCATGCCGTCAAATAACTGAGAGGGATGAAAAGGTTTAGAAAGGGAAGGGAAATTGGACGAGCTCCACTGCTCAGGTCGTAGTCATGACAATTTGTCTTAATTATATCCTGTTGACTAGGTGACTGGAGGAGACACTACTTGTTAAAAAGGGGAAAGGAATGCTTCAAATGGCTCCACGTCAAATTCCATATTCAAAGGTGACATAGGCAGGAGCTTGGTTGTCAGAAACGATATAAAGGTGTAGGAAAACTTCAAATTCATCGGTTAGGTTTCTTGAAAGTAAAAAAATGGGAAAAACGACATGAATGACAAGACCAGGTGTGCAGGAGGATCTAAATCATCTTCTGCTCTCAATCACCTCTTCTGAGTGTGAATGAAATTTGAGTTGACTTAATTTTCTAGAGTTGATGGCTCGATTCAACTCTGTTCCTATTTGAGGCTAGCGAATTAAAGAGTGACTTTCAGAAGCTCGAAGCATGAAGGCTTCGCAGGTTCGTAGATAGTTACTGTGGAAAGCGACTTCAGTAACGAATTATTTGGAAATTTCACTTAGGAAGAACCCCCTTATATCCTCATAAACAGCAGCCAACTTGAAATAGATACGTGTGGTAGCAATAAAGAGGATGAGAACAACCGAAGGATCAGACTTCTGCCTTTGAGATTGCTGTAGAATGAAGCTAGTGGGGCATGCAAAGAGAGCGTAAACACAATGAGGTAGTCGACGGAACACGTCCAAAGCCTTGAAATCAACAACTTTTCCAATCTCGACTTACACTATGTCGACAGAGTAGGAGATAAACCAAAAGAATACTTCTAACTGACTGGAGTAAGCCAGCACTTCAAAGGAAAGCAGTGGGTCCCGTGTGTTGACACGACCACAAAATCTGCAAGATCACAAGGCGATTGAACTAGACTTTTGATGTATCATCAACTCTTCCATCATAATTAACTATTCACTTCATATAGCAAGTTATCAAAGGCCGGAAGTAGCGTGCTCAGGACTGGGTATTTTTTCCCCAAAAAGATGTTCCTTGGCTTAACAGAGATTTGTCCACCACATGTCCTTACTTTTTCCTTTTGCTTCCATTTTCTCTGATTCTGCAATTGCTGTTGCACCAAAGGCAGATTCCGTCTCAAACCTTCCACATACATCCAACTGTGCACAGTGTCAAATTTATTTCTGAATGAGAAGGCGACATAGTTGGTAACTATAACTAATCCCTTACGAAAAACTGTATGTAATAATGAAGTTGATGGTAAAAGAAGAGCTTCATCCAGTGACTTCATTCAGACTAGTAATGACATTTGCTGTTATCTTCTGCTCAAATAAGTATGGCCATTGCTTTTTTCGACCCCTAAAAATGCTAGAAGCTGGCTATTGGTAGGAAGCTTCTGCATTCACTGATTTACTTAACTCGGTCTACAGTTCGATGAGTTTCTTGCAAAAACAAATGTCTGATTACTGAAGTAACAGACCTTAAAGAAAACTATCTTCAACAAAAAAATCCGGTGGTGTATCAATATCCCTCCACTACCAATGTCCTGGCTATTTGACACCTGATTTCCATAGCGAAGTTCCGCGTCACAAATAGGTGACATACGTTCAATGTCAATTATTGCTAACTGATTGTATCAATTTGTAGTGCAAAACGGTCTAGGCGAATTCGAAACAGAACAGTAAAATGGCCCAAAAGCGAGTTTTGGTGAAGTGTTGGATGACTGTAGTAAAACAACACACTGATGATTGTCCACTCTCTTCCTCAACTCTAGTAGAAGGCGTGTTGCGTGATTTCCGGCATAATACGCTCACCTTATTTAAGTAGAATAGAAATTAAATAGAAGCTCATTTATGGAATATGAGTGGGTAGCTAAACAGCATAAAAGTGAGTTGCTCCTTTCTAGTGTGCAATGCTCAACATGAGATGAATTTGAAGTCCAGTCTGATGAGGTGAAAGCATAAAAAGCGTTGCTTCTCATCGGCCCATTCGGTGAGATATCCTACAGCACTCTTATGCTTCTATCTTTGTTTAGAAATAATGAAGGTGGGTGGAGTAGCTGCGGATACTGCTGTGTCAAGCTATTTGAGACGAAAGAGCCAATTGACTTGGTTGCAATAGAGAAGACCACACCAATCCGTTTCAGTCCTGCCATTCATGAGATTGCTGGCAGGAAGCTTTCATATAAGGCTTGAACCACAAACCTACCTCTTCTTGGCATTCTCCCAGGCAAAATGGATAACTTGGAAACAAAAGACATTTGGAAATAATGGAGCCTATTTTCACTCCGTCACCTGAAAAGGTCACATGGGCGAACTCACTTATCACCAAGATTGGCCACAGCAATGACCGCAGGATGGGCAGCAGTCACTTGAATTGAGGGCATTTGGCCACTTGGTTGTGTCGGTGAAGTAGGTACGCCTCCACCAACACCGGCACCACCCGCACCTCCGCCGGCTTGGGATTGGCGCTTTCGAAACTCACTTACATCCTCAGTAATATCTCGATGGCCCGAGGAGATGTGTTTCTTGCCTCGCTTCCGTGTCCAATCCGTTAAAGTTCGACCGAGAATGCCTCCACCTGGGATCATATCGCGCTGGAGGAATGAGAAAAAGCAGTCAAACAGCTCATAAGAAAACCCAACTAGGATCCGACGGAAGTTCGCATATCAACTAGACAAACATTGCTTGTAATTGCTTGCTTTTATTTTATTGCTGAATCCGAAGAGTACCCCATACCCTACATACTTCAACCTCTAGTTCACAATTTCTTTCAAAACTGTCATTCTTGCAGGTACCTTTTGAACAAGAGGTTATAATTATCATTTTTAGGGAGGAGATAGAATTTCTCCCTCCCCATCATGTACGCCAATGGGGATGGAGTAGTTTGAACATGAGTATCGACTTCCACTATAATTCGAGGGAAGGAGCTTCTACCACAGACTGGTTCCGATGAAGTTATTTGCTTGACGACAGATTGATACCGATGACAGATTCCTATGGTTGAAAAATAAGGCCTTTTCGTTCACGAAAAGTAGGTCGACGACTTTTGGAAAGTCATGAGTCAAAACTTGTTTATAGTGAAATATGCGAAATTCTTCTCTACTTTTCTGGGGTTGTACTCGGGAGAAAAGAGCGAAATAAAATTTCATTACTCCTTTTCCCTTGGCCGAGGTGGTGGTGAAGAAAAACAAACTCGCTCAGCACAAAAACATTCACCACTTGAGCGGCACATTTGAAACTCACATCTGCTAGACAATTCCTCACTCCTCGCTCCTCTTTTTTCAAAGCAAGTCCACCGCTGAATTGTGGCCGATTTAAATAAAATACCTGGCGGTCATTTGGAATTGCACTACCTTTTAAGCAGTTTTAATTTTAAAAATTTCACTTAAAAAAGGAGATAAATGAGCAGCTTCCGCTTTTATTTTTATCCATTAAATAGGCGAAAAAGAAGTCAAGAAACGTTCAGAAATAGGTCGTGGTAATTGATCAAGGCGTATTTACTACTGTCTGACTAACGCTTCCGCGGAGGAAGGTGGACCTATTCAAGGACCTATTCTGCCAACCTGCCAGGAGCGTGGGACGTATGCCAAAATGAATAATGTACAGCAAAGTGTTTAGAGTCCAGGTTTCAGGTCACCTAATTTCCATCGACTTCTAAGTCGTCCAGAAGGAAACTAAAAGTTCAGATTAGCAGGGAATTTGTGCGCTTCAGAATCACCAAAAATGCTAGTCTTTAGAGAAAAAATAAGCAAACTCGAAAGTTGAAAATTTTAGACACTGAAATCTCCGAGGGCAATCTGTGGTCAACCGAAGGGCAGAAGAAAAGGAAAAAAAATTCGTACTATAAGTGTTCCAGCTTAAGTTTTCTGAAGGAAAATTATTAACCTCAGCTCAACCAGGCACCGTAAGCTAGAACGGTCAAGGTCGTGAGCATCTTTCTACATCTCTTTTATTTAGAAGAAATGTTCCTCTTCCCTGAATAATGCAAATACCTCAAGTTCCACAAAAGATCATTGATGCTTCGCAAGATAACAGACTAAAAATGTTGCCGACTTAAGAAAAAAAATTTTGCGTTTAGAAGAAAATACGTGGTGCGATAAGGTGATGCACTTAATGAATTCGGTCAGCCAGTTAAAAGGCAGACACGTGTACCAATGTCTTGTAATGCATTTTTAATCAAGGACTTCCAGACTATCGCCTGAAAATGACAAAACACCATCAGCGCAATAAATTGGAATCATTTTGAGAACTCCAATACAACAATAACAGCCGCCTGACAGGCGTGTTGAGAGAGTTTAAGCAAAGCACTAGCCCGCAAAAATCTGCGTTCAGTCTTTCTTTCATTCGCCTTACAACTCCTTTCCGCCGGCGCATTTCTCTTCCCTCCTTCCCCTACTCTTCGACCCTGTCGTTGGGTTGGTAGTTTTAAAGAATTTGTAGATCAAATGCAACCGCGCCGTTTCAGAGCGATGTTGTTGAGGAGGAGCTCTTAAAAAAGCCCAGAGTATATTTAGCGCAATCAGTACTTCACTTCAAGCGCCTCTCCGGGCGTCAGGCTCTTGCCCCTCCTGCTGCTCCGATGACAGTTTAATAGGGCTAAGGGTAACTAGAAAAGTCGACAATAGAAGGAAAATGAGAGGAGGAGGATCACATGATCACATATACATCGGTATTGGTACTAGTAATGGTCGCCACAAGCACAAAAGGGTGTGTCAGGGAAGAGCCTTCAAGCAGCACAGTCTGATTGGATGAAGTTTGTGGACAAAATTGGCTAGCCGGCTGACTTGCCAGTAAGCCTACTTCTGCTACTGTAAAGTAGACATAAGAAACCACTTTCATCCGTAGTGAGGTGAGGAAGAACGAACGTGAGTGGAGGCGAGTGATGGCCAGTTAATGCAAAGAAAGTGAGGCAAAGCGAGATGAACCCCAGAATCATCCTACCGAAATTCCGAATGATATCTCATCCCCTCCTGCCTGCATTTCTCCTGAAGTTTAACTAGAATTCGTTGAGTTTGACTGAAAAAGGAGGGGAATCGCCTTTAGAGACTCCGAAATGCCTGGACTCCAGAAGGGGGTGTAAAGCATGAACTAGAAATGGATAGAAATAAGTAATGATGCAATTAACGAAGTCGCCTTTCGATAGATATGCTTATCAAGTCGATTCTCATTTGAAAGGGCGGTAAAGAGGCATGGTACTCTCCAGCTTCCAAAATTCGTAGTCTAATCGAAAAGCAGCACATGAGTAAAATGAAAAAGTAGAGAGCCTCTGCAAAAAGAGATAATTTTACCGTTTTACTCCGCCAGCCAAAGATCACCGTGTACTGGCCCAATGAAATCAACGAACTCCAATGGATGAAGAGCGACAGTCAATTCGTATGCCAAAACCTTGACAAATGCTTTCACTTGTACAGCTACTCAAGTCAATCCACCAAAGTAAAGTGACTGCCGTAATGCAGGCATTTTATGATCTCTTGACAGATATACGGATCAGAAACAGGGAAATGAAAGATTAACAGGAAATAGACTGCCTAATTTCTCAGAGACTGTTTGTCAGAACAAGGATAGAAGAAAAATCATATTGATGTGATGCTGATAGAGACCATTCAAAGAGAATGACTATCCACGCTCCCCATCATTTGCACAGAGTAATTAAAAACTCACCTTTCTAGCTCGAGATTCCCCCTTTTTAAATGTAATAAAACTCCATCAGGAGCCGCTCTCAGTGCCTAGGCAACTACCGGGGGAAAATTTCTCCCCACCTGAAAGATTGCACTTCTCTTATTATCGAAACAAATAAGTACTCACCTTTTCACCCTTCCTACGTTGAATATCGTCGCCAGTAAGGTCGGAGGAGCAGCGACGAGGGAATCCCACGATTGTCGGTTGATGCGGCATCGAGCGATCGCCAGCCTATGAGCGGTGGCACGGCAAGGGAAGAAAAGCAAACAGACGAAATCAAATACATATTTAAGAAAGGAAGAAAAAGGCAAAGAAACTGGCGTATAGAATATCAAGGGGAGGAAAAGGAAGAGGAGAAGGTGCGATGAGTTGAAGAGTCATTGACCCGCTGACAGATTCGTTAAGAAGGGTTAAAATGCAATTATGAGGAAGTGATGTCTTTAACAAAATTAGTCCCTTCTCACGTAAACCAAACTCTTACACTTGGCCTGAGAACAAAAGCTCATCGAATCCAAAGACTTGGAGGAGCAGCTGTCTCCCTTCGTTCTCAAATGAAGTTGGGGATGGTTAAGCCTATTCGTAATTATCCCTTGCTGCTTAAAATCTACAAGATGCCACCTGTTTTCTCTTTCTCTCTTATAAGATCTAAAAACAATCAAAGATAAGATTGCACCTCTCTCCACCTCCTAGTACAACCTTTAGGGCCTGGAGTGAGAAGGAGGAGGTCGTAATCATGCATGATTCTAACACGCTCGTCCCTTTCAATTTAACTCGAGCAGGTGCATTGTGAGACTTATTGGTAGAGTCAATCAAATCTCAAGGACCACCTTCGCCACAGTTGGCACAGATGGGGAGCACACAGGTAGTCTTTATTCGAATTGTTTGAAAGCTCTATTTGCGTAAAAGGAAGAGGCAGTCGACTGCAATTCCAAACAAATGAGATGCAATGTTAATCTGGATGGACTGACATCTGCCAAACAAATAATCTGTCACAATTAATCAGGAAAGGCGGACAATGCGTGTTTAAAGCTAAAATAGATGGATTGCAATGTTTTTTTTTCGTCTTTTCACTTCAAACTAAATTTTTTTTTCTTTCCACGTAGCAAATGAGAGAACGGAAGCATAGGCACTCCTGAGAGTCCTTAGTACGCTTTCACTATGTGATGCTAAGTCGTCAAACTTTGGAGTAGGCATGGTTCTCGTGGAGTGAATAATGAATAAATCGTAGTAGAATTTGATGTGAGAATTCAGAGAAATAAGAGCACTTAAAAGAGAAGTCACAACGCCTGCTCTTTTCAGCCTTTTGGTCCATATGTTTGACATTCAGAACGCACCAGAATTTGTGGGATGTAGCGAGTGTCTTTCTGAATCATTTTTCTCTTCTGCCATTCACGAAACCAATTTTGAATGAGGAAAGTGGCGTAGAATTTGCCCACCGTCACAACGTCCAGGTCTAAATTGGTCAGAAAGGCAAGGGGAGAGCATTTACACCGCCTTTAAATGATACGGTGATCACAGAGGTTACACGTTAACAATAACAGCACCCACCTTTTGGCGGAAGAATTTGATCTAAAAGCTTGGGACTGGTTCGTTTCCATATTTTCTTAATGACGATTCGAAGCTCCTCGTTCAGTTGATCCAATGACTTCTCCTTCTCATCGTCTGAAAGGGAGAGAACTATAAGTAGCTAGTTGAGCATTCCACCGATGAAAAGCATTTAGATGTCTAGGCGGTGTAGGTGACCACAAACCATCTTCTTAATCGAGACGCCAAACTGCCGACTTTATAAATGGCCTATTTGCACATACAGTTTATTCTCTCCCAGTCTTTAAAAAATCATTCTTCAAACAAGTGTACTGATTTGATAGTTAGCAATTGAAAGATGGTCTAAAAAACAAACCTTCAGGAACTTTGATACGCAAATTGCGTCGAACCAAAGCGAAGAGAGTGGCATTGAAGAAGACTGTTCCATCACTTTGTAGGGGCATATTCATTTGCACTAATTTCTACAGCAAAAAAGGCACTATTTACTTGAGTGTCGTGCTAATGTGGGCTATCAGGCCACAGGATCTCCGGACTCCAAGGCAAATGCGCATATTACGGAGGCAGTGGATGGAGAAACCAGAAACACTAATTTGCGCGCTGTTGGACGCCTATTGACTAAAAATATTGCTGAATTTTATAGTACAAGGAAGAATAGTGACAATTTTTTAATGTTTCCTTACGATGGTACAAACAAAGGCCAAGACAGGAGGAAGTACACGATTTTGAAGAGGGAGGAAGAAGTAGTCAAGAAGGAGTTGTGAGGGTGAGCCTTATGAATGATGGAGAAACTCAATTGTCGAGATGATAAAATATAAGCATGACGAACTCACTTCCATAGCTAAAGTGGTCTAACCGTCCTGTGTGCCTTGTGATTACAATGCACACCAACCTACCTCAAATAGACGACGCCGCAGATTTCTCAGGCGTGAGCCTGTAACATGCACACATGAAGCGATTATAATCCACTCCTGATTTTGCCAATTTAGTCAATTTCTATTCCTTCAAACAGGACTAAGCGAGTCTGCAATTTCACAATGATACCTAATAAGCCCAAAGTGAAATTTAACTGTTGAAAATTCTCTGTCGACAGAATCACGCAACCGATCTGTAAATTGTTGCCCAAAGGGTACGTTGTCTAGACGGATTTGGAGTTAAGCCCCATTCGCCACCACCATCATCTTGTCTGTTGATTACCGCACTGCTTGCGTGACATGCTATTATCGCACGCAAATGAGCACACAAAAGGACAGTTGGTAGAGGGTCCGCTATTAAGCGCTCCCATTACGAATCCTACCTGCTAAATTGACAGATTTGATAGAACTGCTGCAGGCCGATGGCACAATACATCGGTTAAGGTGCAAACTACCCATACACCAGCACTCTCCAAGGAAAAAATACCACAAATAACTTCTTTTGGGTTAGCACGAGGGATTTAAACGTCGAAAGACAGACGATGCAGCTCACGTTGTGAAAAATGCCATGTTTAGAGTAGAGATGCATCAGTAAACAGTTGAAGCATCACATCAGCATGAACCATACGTTGAAGAAAAATAGGGACCAAATTGCTTCCATTCACCCCCCTGGTCTTCCCATTACAATCGCCCTGTTATTTCTCAATGACTGTTTTTTGCATCACATAAGAGGACTGAATACTGTAAAATTCGGGTGAATACTTCTTGATACTTTTGACGATCATTGAACTTGGAGGTATGAATCGTTTCCACCGGAAGGCATGCTATGTTCAGACAGGGGACCCAGGCGGAAAACTGTAGCGTCTCACATATGTGATACCAATAGGGAACGCGAGGCAAAATGTACCATTTTTGGCTATTTTGTCTGCATGAGCCATCTTTTTTTGTTTTCTTGAGGCGAACACAGTGCTGTGTTTATGATATCTGTCGGAAATGCACATCCATCCATAGCGACCCAAAAAGGAAGGTGATAAAGTGGAAAAAAACGTGATGTTTAGAGAAGAAGAATGGTCCGAGTAGACATCTTCTATTTCCCCTTCAAAAATTCAAGGTCAGTTCAAAGACACCAAGTTTGCTATGATCCCTCGCATAAACGTGGCGACTCTTACCGTCCCAGACCAAAATAGTAAACACTTAACATGAGTTGTGAAAGAACTATGCACAAGTAAACGAGAACAGGTGGCAGGGAAATAATTTAAGAAAAAAAACTTACATAAAACCACTTGGTCACATATAAGTGACACTTGCCTTTTCAATTGTTTTGACATGCCTATCTTGCAAGAAGTAAAAAAGAAAAAGCAAATGAAGCAAAATTCACAGCGCGCCTATTGGAATGGCAGAAAAACACGATCTCATTGTAAATATTTACCCCCAAACATTACTGTGGCACTGCGAAGAGTCCATCATCTGGGCACAGATGGGGTGTAGGCTGGTGCTGAATCACATTGCGATGTGCTAACAGAGAGCAGATGGACACACACGCAGCGCCACTGCCACATTAAGCAACACTTCATTTCCCCAGAGCAAAAAAATAGGAAAGCACTGGTATCTGATAAAGCGATTGCCATGTATTTTGCTAGAACCATTAAGAAGACTCAGTCCTTTCAATTCACAATGAAAACGAAGTTTGTGCAACTGACTGTCTCCTCTCCTCAACAGTGGACCGCTGTAGTGGCAAGAATTGGGTGAACCCATTGTTGGGTGTAGACCCCATTTTGATGCCTGTTTACCCAAATTTTTCAAGAAAAGCAACCAGTTTGTCCATAGCATGGAATGCCTGTGCATTTGAGGTTAACTAACTCGCCAAGTGAGTTTTAAAGCCATGTAAATAAACAGACAAAAGTAGGGTTAACGCCTCGAAGAAGTCTACTTATCAAATCGCTTTCGATGAATCCTGAGACGTTGATAAATAGCACCAAAATGGATGCTCAGCGTAGTTGATTGGTGCTGTTTAGTTTAGTTGATGTCAGACGTTGTGATGGGTGGAGATTAGCTGGTCCACATTCTCCTCTTTCCTTCAGGCTAATAGCCAAGAATTTAATATTTATATTTTTAGTAGGCTTGGAAAATTTGTTCCCTTTGGTTTTTCCCGGAGAGTGGATTTCATTCCTTTTCATAAATAAATCGCACAATACTCTGCAAGGGGTCCAACATTGCAACCCTTCTCCTACACCAAAATTTGTCACTAGATGAGGACATCTTGAGGAACTTTCACTTCCTTCAAGAAACGTCAGAGCTATTCTTTTGACTTGGAGTTCTCAATACTAAACGAAAAAGTGGCAAAAAAATCAGACCCGTGACATTCAATTCTTGCCAATAAATCCCCTCCTCGAAATGTTGAGGGCCGAAAAGACACCGGGTAGCGATCTGATTCCGGAATCTCACTGTTAGGGGAAAACTGGACTCTGAGGAATTCATAATCAAAGGCGTAGGGAATGCATTATCCCGTTTTGATAATGGCGAACAGAACAGAATTGAGACGAGGAATTATGTAAGAACAGCATACAATTCCTTTCCTGAACTGAAATTCCCTCCTCTTTTTCTGTCTGATAGTGCCAAACCTCAAAGAAAATCACGGCTTAATCTTTTCCACTCCAACCTCCTCCCACAATCAAGCTTTTTCCCGGAAGGAAGCACGTGTAATGTCGAATTCGCTTTCCCGCACTCTTTTTTATCACCGGCCTAGCTTCCGCCATATCACAGCCTCTTCGGCACTCTTTGTCTATCTACTTCCCAAGTTGCGTTGTGTTGGCATCTGAACCCGAGAAAGGAGTGCGAGAGAGAAAGGTAAGGCACGGAGAGGGAACTGAGGCAGGCATCAAATTTTCTTCCCTCTCTCTCACGTCATGGGTCACTTACATACGAAGGGCTGGAAACTGTAATGTGCGTCATAAATGCAATCGTAGGCAAATCATAAGTTGAGCAACCTATTCATCGCTTTTCTTTAACCGACAATCATCATCCTACCACTCGATCAGTTGAGAACCTAACAGGAGACAACTTTTATTTGCCCATTCATCATAGACAAAGAAGATTGAGACAGTGACAACCATTGACGTTTCTCCGGTAGTAAATTAAACTAACTTTTATGGAAGAAAAATGCACTTGAAGTAAAAATTTTATAAAATCAGAAGGCGTGCTATAGCAACTATTATTTTTGGAAATCGAGGAAAATGTATATCTGCTGAAACCGAGAATTGACTAAAAGTAGGCAAGTTTCGGTTAAATGCGAGCTCGACTACCTCAAGTTCAACGTCTCACTTAAGATAATACGAAGTCGATGGAATCACCCTCCTTCAACACAGTTTACATGAACGATCCATCAACGATTGTGGAAGTGCGTCACCAAAAAGAATCATCTCTGTTGCAAAATTGGTGCCCTAACACAACTCTTTCAATTTTTGCATATTCAACCATCGCCTCCACCCCCACCTATGACTAATATCTTTCACTATTTCATTAGCAATGAGTTGGGATGTCGAGGTACCCACGAGCCGTTATTCTTTAACGCTTTTGTGACTGTAAACGCAACCAAGGCATAAGACTGAATTCAAACAAAATCAGAGGTTACGGCGTTCTCGTAAAAGACACTGTTGAGGCTCGGTGCTCACCTAAAGCACCCACTTCAAACTAATTATTTCTTTGAAGCAAAATCCCTCAAAGAGCAGGCAAAATTCCACAGCCACATTAATTCACAGAATAGTTGACACCACAAAGCAATCGCCAATCGTTCACTGTGAGACGGAAAAGGACTTCAATAGCTTCCTCACTCAATTACAGGAACTAAAAGCAGCTGAAGATGTGTCAGTATTGGGCTAAAATATTCTGATAATGCTACTAAATGATTTACAGCACAATTCAACATGAAAACCGCAAATGAATCAAATCGCAAAATCATGCGAGTGTTTTTATGGAGGCGAAAAAACAGGAAAGAGAGAAGTGTTAGACAAGCGCGACCCAATCCGAAAGCGAAGTGATTGCCGAAATTTTTTTCCTCAGAAGGTATGATTTTATCAAAGAATGTGGTGAGTAAATAACTTGTATTGTAAACTGGTCGAAAGTTATAAGAAATAGTATAGTGGTTGGGAGAATAAAACACGCTCAACTCCGGCATCACATACACATATGATTTCACCAATGGATGTATCACATCTTTGCGAAAAGTTGTATATTCCACCGTCATCTGGCATAAAAAGGATTTTTAGGTAATGCTAAATGGGAATGGTAGAAAGAGGTTCAACATGAAAAGCCCCACTGGTGCTTGAATGTACGATCGAAGTTTGTCTTCAATCAATGAATCGAAATTAGTGACCCTTCAGTCAAATTTCAGTTTCTCGAAGAAAAGTAGTACGAAAGTAGAAACTTACATGGCAAGCTCGAGTGTGGGGACACATACTTCCAAAGCCTAGGGGAGGACTAATCTTTCCCAGCATTGTCACCACGTCCAAATGTCGAACACGACCCCTTGGTTTGCACGACACAAAACAAAAATCACATAGATTGGCACATAACGTGAAATTCGGGGAATGACCACTCCAATCGACCTACTTGGCTTCAGGATCGTACTCAGCCCATCGAGTCACAAATTCATCCAAATGATGAGGTCCAAGGATTGACCAATCTCGCGTAAGATAGTCAAAATTGTCCATAATGACCGCAACAAAAAGATTGATTATCTAAGGGGGGATAAGGAGGATGAGAAAAGGGTGAGGAAGATAGGGATAGGAACAAGTATGCAAAGCCAGAGTAAATTTAATCATACTTACCACAAAAGAACAGAAGAGGTAGAAAGTTATGAAGTAGGGATATGCCAAGTTCGACCCACAATTCATGCCCTCACTTCCATCTTCAGAGTCCACCGCGCATTTTCGACCTATTATTCATGCCGAAACTTCCTTATTTCTTCCATTCCAACGATCAAGATGTAATTAAAATAGCAATGCTCTGGGCAGTCAGTGGAGAATAATCCCATTCTGACAGCCTCTGTCTTATTTTGAGCAATTAGGGCGTGGGAAATGGTGATGGTGATGATGATTGGTTTTATTAATGGCGATTCTCAACTTTGACATTAAGACTAGTTTGTTCGCTTTCACTTTGGAGGTTCTGCTATTGCACGAAATTGTTACAAAAGACTAGACTCTTGTTGACAACAACAAGCGACTAAGTAACGCCACTAGCTGTTGTGTTCGTGAAAGATAAGTAGGCAAGCAAATCCTTCGGAGTAGAGACACTATTAACATGTCATGCTATTTTGACGAGCCTAAACAAACCACTCTTTGAAGTCAAAAGACATTATTCGTCCTCCCAACTTATTGTCCATATAAATAATCTGGCTTGCCAAAATGATAGTCTGGTTGTCTACTTGCTGACATGTTTGCATCGTCAGTTGGATCTCTTGCTTCCTCGTTCTCTGCCCTCTCGTTATTCTCTTATTGCTCCCACCCTCCTATGCTCAGTTCACCATCAGATCAGATTCGCAATCAACATTGGGGAGATAAACAGCCAAACCAAAGTGAACGGATCACGCGGATCGGTTTGTTTAACACCCAATAAGATGGACATTCTATGTAAAATACGATCGCTCGCCAAGGAGGAAAAGGTTGAACAGTTCTATGTGTTGAGATTATAAACTTCAACACCCGTGACCATGTTACCATGGGCTCGAGTTTCAAGAATGAGTGTAACTCTTTCCCCTTCTCCCTCGCCCTCCTTCGTTCTTACACCTAATGCAGATCTCAATGCCGAATCGAGTTGCTTTAACCCATGCCTAGGGGACTTTGAAGTGATTTTTTCCTTAACTCAAAATTATTTAACTTTAGATGATTAAGCTACGATTGCTCATTAAATATGCATGCCGTTACAACTAGCGTACAATGTCGCTGACTCATTTTAATATACGTCATTTATTGGCAGTTACTCTGCAACTTCCTAATAAAATTGGTATGGCTTCGAAAATGAGTTACTAATTATTGAAGTGCTTTCCGCAAGAACCAGGAAACGACTATAATGATTTAAAAAGGTAAAAATTAATGGATTTCGGCGATCGGTCCGGAGGCGTCAATTGACTGACCCATTGGTTGAAAGCAATTAATGACTAATGGTGGCGAATCTCTTCTCATCATTTGCAAATTTTGCTTTTGCAAAAAAAAAGCGACTACAGGCGTTAATGCAAGCTAATCAACATACCTGGGGTGCAGGCGAGCATTATCTCTTGCCAGGATTCACCAGTCGCCGATCTGCGAGATAAAAAGTGCCAAGCAATGGTTGAGAGAAGCAAAAGGTAGCATTTTTTCAGTCCTCATAAAATTCACCCCATTACAACATTCGCGCTGGAGATATTGCGCATAGCGCGCAAGGGTTAAGTAGGCTGTGTACGACAAAAAAGCGGAGGAAAACGGGTAAGATAAGGGCCGTGATTTCCAGAGCGTAGGATAGTGAAAAGCAATTATTTTTGGTCTTTTCAAATTCAATAGTACCCCGGGAAAAAGCAAAAAAGGAAACAGACCTCGATAATTCTGAATCCGCTTGGGGATATCAACTTCCACTTGACACCAGAAATTGGAGCCGAATGAACAAAGTATACATATGGGAACTGGTTGATTACGTTAGAGAGGAAGTTAATAGATGCACAATAGAGAGGATGAAGATTATCCTAGGAAATCTGAAGCGTGACTCCCCAAAAAGGAAGCCATTTGAGACAAAACAGAAGTTCGCGTAGATGAAACATAGCTGCAACTCTGATTGCAGACTGCAAAGCCTCAAATGGTTAGGAATTGCCACTATTTACTCAAAAAGGACGAGACTTCTGAGAGTGTGAAATATATACAATTCTTGTCGCTTTACTTGCCATTCTTTCTTTCAATCGTTTTTTAATTGGGGAATGAAAAATCCATAAAGTGTAGACAATCATGTTATGTCATCTTTCTCTAAAGTTAAGCATTTTCGATGACTCTATGGCTACAGACCAAAAGAAGAGATGGGAGGAAGGTTTGCAGTGCCAGTAGCTTCTTGCGCGACTGTCAAAGTTTCTAAAAGAACACAATCCACCTGAAAAGAACGAGAAGGGCGAAGAAGAAGTTGCGGAAGTTGTTGCTACGATGAATAACGCCGTCTTCTCCGGGCGCCAGGCCTGGTTGATGAAGACTAATTTTTCCAAATAGCTGCATCCCAATAACGGCGTAGATGAAGAAGAGCATTGCGATCAAGAGCGCGACGTAGGGCAGCGCCTAGCAATAAAAATCACTCAATGAAGCAGAGTTCATGACTTTTAATAACCAACCGGTGCATTGAATCGATGTGAGACAGGTCAACTTCCTTAACCAAGCATAATAGCCGGACCCATCGGTAGGCTTGATAAAGCGGCCATTTTCCAACTCCAACTAGAAATCCGCCCTCGACCTTCCCCAAAATAGCGACAGATTTCAATTTCTCAGAAAGGGTTTGACCAATTGGTGCTTGAAAATGAATAAGAAGTGAAAAAAATTTGACGTTGAAATTGATTCAACCGTTGACGAATTTTGCTCATCGCTACAAGAGTCAAGATGAGGAGGGCGGAGAAGAGCAGGACTATAACATGATTTAACGTAATCCTTGCCACGCCATGATCGCAGCTATGCGCCTCTCTGCCGGTACTCCCTACCTTGCCCCTACTTCTCATCCGATCCTTGGAGCCCTTGCACCATTCACCGAGTTTCCGCAGACCGTCGAGAGAAAGAGTACGGAGTGCAGATAGATTCCTTTTGGAGATAGACAAAGTCTTCAGCCCGAACTTCTTTATTGGCGGCTGATATGAGTAAGGATGAGTGAAAGGGAAGCGTGCGTACGCCTCTACAGATAGTAACTAAGTAGGGTAGCATGGCAAAGGCACGAATACCAAAGCGGTGCAAAATGTTCGAGAATTTGGCATGAAGAAGAGGTCTTCCACGATACCAAAACAAACTGTCACCGTTTTTCTTGTCTACAAATTCATAATAAAAGTGACTTCTGCATCACTTCGTCTGCTATATCCAAGGCAGTACGCCCGTTTTGTGCTCGCATGTGTAGTGGATCATACAAGTAGTTTTTCACATGCTGACGACCAAAATTTTTTGACTAGGATCGGTCTGTACTGAAAAACAACAGGCACGATTTGAAGGAGGCGACAAGAAATTCCTTTGTGAGAAACGCCAGTTCAGAAGCGGTCATTCGGAGGGGGATAAGGTTAAATGGGGGGAAAAGGATCTTGCCTTAGTCTCATGGAAGTGCAAATTCCACCAGCAAATCTAAGCGTAGCCACGTTCACACTTAGGACAAGGGTGGAAAATACTACCTCGCTTCCAAATCCTAGGCAAACAAATGCCAAACGTGTCTTGTTTAGAGATGAAAGTGAGGTAGAAGCGGGGATTGCCAGGACTGTTGTCTGGTTTCAGAAATAAAATTTTACACTGGAGGGGGATTCCCACCTACATGGAGCTGCGTTCGGCTTCTGTGATGAGTCTAAGATTACTAAGAAATGAGGTAAGTGGCCGAAGAGTGAAGTAAATAAAAGAAATGAAGAATAAATCATTGATTGCTACTCCAGCACATCCGTTGAATTGCCCACTCAAAGAATAACTTACCTCAGAATCACTCCAACTATTTTCGAAGGATACAAGAAAAAGATAGCTTTAAAGCCCTAACAGGAGGTCCAATATCGCAAGTAAAGTTCCTTAAGGATCTAGAATCAGTTCCCCTTTTGACATCGCCAACTGATATGCTTGTATTCGAGAAACTAGTGTTTTACCTTATTAAAGTGACGGAAGTAAGGGACATGAATTCACTTCGAGGCGGCTGTTTAATTGGGACTGCTTACTACACTCCAATGGGTGGTGCACTATGCTGGGTGGTTTATTGGGTGCCGACAAAATTTGGTGTTCATTCAACTCGTCAGTCTTTGGAGGTTTTGTGTATAAATCCTGAAATCGTGTCCGACAATAAATTATGTTCAAACTCTGGCGGGCCGACTGCTTCGACAAGGCGTAAACCAACTAAATATTACCTGTAAGGACTTAATGAAGGTCCACAAAAGCTTCCGAATGGACTCCTCCTTGCTCAAAAGTTTCACCAAACGCATCACACGGAAGAGACGGAAAAAGTTGATGTTGAATTTCAGCGTAGTCTCAGAACTGGCCTAAAAGGGATTACAGATGCATTAAATGCAAGCGGTGGCCGGCTTTTTTGTCGATTCGAGTCTCCAGGTCCCAATTACGTATGCCACCATAACTAAAAAGGGAATATCCAGGCTGTGAAAGTTGATTATTCTCTGGGGTCGGGGCAGATTCGCTAGCCACACCTTCAAGTGGTTACTGTGGCATGTCGCGACAGTCAAAACACCCGCCCTCTGTCCAACAGCGAGATTATTCAAGGCGTTCCTCTGCTGCTGGAGAGGAGGGGAGATCAAAGGACTAAAAGCATGTCCTCTCAATCTCCTCCCCTTCCCACCGCCCCCCGTCTAGCCAAAACGGCTCAAACATTATAGTCGCGGGTAGTGTGACGCCGATGTTAGCGCGCCCTTTAACTTGCCAAAATGCGAAAACAGACACCAGAAAATCGGCTCATGCATTGACTACAGCATATCAGTGTTTGTGGAAGATGCGCTTTGGTGCTGCATCATCATTGGTGCGTTGTTGTCGAGGTGATGCGACGCCGCTGATTCCCTTAAATTATTTTAAAATTACAAACACTTCAATTCTCTCCGAAGCAAACAAACACTGTGATAAAATCAGCCTTGTCTAGGCACGTGCAAGCGCAAGGTTTTAAAAATGCATTAGACTGAATTACATACACCTCGACATAGAAAGTCCAAAATGTATTTTATTAACCCGTGCATTTAAAGTGGGCAGAATTTGAAAAAATATACATATAATTGAGACTTAAGAGGGTGACAAAACGCGAACTTGTGAACTCAACTGTGAATCATCGGCGCTTTTGAATGAAATCGCCAGCGGTGGTAACAAAAGCGCCCTCAATGATATTAGGTAAAGGCTCTTATTCAATCGTTATTTGATTTAGTTTTTAATTAAAACACAGCTAAAACCCAAATCATGAACCTAAATAAGAAGGAGCACCATATACTATAAGGGTACTGGAGAGTAGTGAGAGGAGCCATCACTTGCTGGATCGGCCTTCCCCATGTTGATTTAAGCATGGAGGTCAAGTAAGCGAGTAGAGCATCACGAATATGCAAGAGACTGAAACATGGCTTCAGACCTAACCGGCAATCGAGACGCTTCAGACAGTGGATGACCCAGGTGTGGCCGCATCTGTACACAAACCTTGTTTACCTTACAAGCTTGCCCTCTACCTTCAGTGCCACGGCGTGTAGAGAAAGGGCATGCCAAATGGACCAACTCAGTCCAACTGCGTTCACCGTTGCCATCGGGAGCCACCGAACAGAACACTTGCTTCAGCTTAGGACCAGTTGCTCACCACGAATTATAAAATTGACGCATTTGTCTCCATGCAAGGCGCTTAATCACTGTACACTCTTAAGGTGCTGCAGAGGGAGCACAGATAATTAGGCTGTCGATTCACTCCATAAGCCATTTTCCGTTACTTGTGCATGCCTACTCAAATGGAAAACCTTTCTTTATTCCGCTCATTAGAGCGGAGGTGACTCATTCAAGAGAAGGTTAAGTGTCAACACACGATGACCACCGAGTACCTGTGGTTGCGTTGTTGATTTCAAGCATGGAAAAAGTGGCAGTTGCTTTCTGCGAATCAAACTCCCAAAGCATCAGGTGGGAGATCCTCAAGAGAAAACGTTGCCTGATGATGCTTCGTTGGAGTCCGCAAAACATTCTCAGCCTTTAAAGAAAAGCGATCAAAGCGAGACAGGTGACTCCACATGCATGGTACCACAAATCACTCCCTGATAGGTTACATTAAAGAGAGATATTTGCCCTGTTCGCTCATCATCTCGACGGCGTAGCGCTTTATCACTCCTGCTGCGGCCACATTATTTTTCAAGTGAAATAATAACAACGGCATAAGAGTTGAGATCAGACTCCAATAACTAGGCTTGTACTCGCATGGCCATGGTCTAGCAACAATGGCAATCCCTCTTCGGCGTCATCACCATAGGTAAGTGCTATTTCGCCTCGAAACAACTTGAAGCACTTTATAGTGTCACCCAAATCAATCCCTCTCTGATGAATTTCACCATGAACATGACAGCGAACGCGAGGTCCAGCCACCTCGGGCATATCGGCAGACATTAGTCTTTCAACACAGTTGGTTCGAAGGCCCAGGGGTCGGTGCGGATATGCCAACGAGGAATGTGAGGCGAGACACCCAAAATAGCTGTAGAGCTGAACAAATTTGTTCACGACTTTGTCATTCTTCATGGGGTAGTGTTACGAACATCCAGTCACGCCCACAGTAGTCCAACCAACACATTAGCACGCTTCAGCATAACTATGGGGATTACTTGCGGTAGCACACAACTGATCTGGAGCCGCAATTTGATCTTTTGAAACCAGAGGAGCAAAAAGTGTTTACTTATAATGTATAGGAAGGAGAAAACGATTGACTTACCTTACTAACAATAATGTCGATATAACTGCCAAGCACGATGATAAAGTCAATGACATTCCATGGGTCGCCAAAGTAGTGCTGCAAATATGCACAGAAAGAGTCAATCGGTCTTTTCGCGATTTGGTGTTAAATTTGTCCACAAATTAGCTAAAAAACATGACGCAGGCCATCAATTCTAATCGTCCAATCTCTTCAAATTCCACTGTGTGAGTGCACCCAGACTGGACGACATTGAGGGGTTCAAACGCCTCCTCGCTACACGCCACTTCCTCCATCCGCCACAAATATCACCAGGTTACACGAATTAGACATGGAGAGGCAAAAAGAAGCAGGAATTGCGGTTCTGTAGAGGAACAACTGTTACCAACGCCGTCAGACACTATGAGGTTATCGCCTTTGAACATAAGTTTTAGAATTGTGAATGATTTGGTGCCTGTGGCAAGTATTTTGACGGGACAAGGCATTTTAAGGGAAGCAAAATAATTCCCTTATTGGGAGCCCTCAAATAACCGCGCATTAAAAAAACTGATTTTATCTCTTTTTCGTGTGCCAAAGTACAGAACACTTTAAGGTCTCTATTTCGGTGCATTATGCCGCAATACACATATGATGTGCTTCCACAAAAATCGGTCGAATTCAACATAAGCCAAAGATACTTTTGTGCAAAAATAATGAAGGCTCAGCTTGGTTGCTTGCTTGATGAAAGCCCTTTAAAATCTCGAACCTGTTTTTAACTAACGCATAACTTACTCTGAAGCTAAAGGCGGACAATTTGAGGATGAATTCCACGGTGAAGACAGCAGTGAAGAAGTAATTGAAGTTGTCCAAAACACTACTAAAAGTTGGATCCATTTTATCGTGCTGAAAAGACAAATATTGCTTCTTTGAGTTTAAGTGTCTTTTTCCCATTAAAAGGCTAAGGCTGCTTTTGGCAATGAACACTTACGTCTCTGGCTATCACAGATACCGCTAGAATTAATACCACTTCAAGCCTAGTTGTTTACATTAAATTATGTATAAAAAGCCGCCTAGCGTGGCTAATGAAGGTAGGAGGGCAGACCTTGCATGCCAGCGTAACCGTATTCAAAAAGATAAATGTGAAAATGGTGATTTCCAATTTGCGCGACACCACCATGGACCAGATCTTGTACTGGAGATGGCCCTTGGGAATATAACGTCGCCGTGGCCGAGCCTTCAAAGCGTACTCGATGCATTTACGCTGGAGTAAGAGGCAAAACGCATAAGAAATCATTGCTACTTAACTGGATCAAAGTAAAGTATTATTCACAAACCTGATTTTTGTTAAGCTCACAATTTTTGTATTCGCGTTCACCCTCGCGTTGAAAGGTGACAATGACAAAACCAACGAATATGTTCACCATGAAGAAAGAGGCCACAATGAGGTAGATGATGAAGTAGAGAGCTATGTACTTCCGATGATCCTGCAGAGGTCCCATGTCCTCCTCGTTGGAATCAATGCCCGCGTAGAGGATTCTGCAGGAAAACGAAGGGGCACCAACATTTTCTTACATTAGTAACTAAGCATCTAAATCTTCTGTATTGATGAAAATTCCGCCACTTGATGGCGAGAATATTTTCCGCTCCTGAGTTCCCCGTATTCAATGGTAGAAATAGGTCGAGACCAGAAACCTTGGGGCAGACTTAACCAGATGCCATTCGCCGACACACCAATTATTCTCTAGAAAACTAATCTACAACCCATGTTACCCCTCATCCAGTTTATCTGCAAACTCTGGACGTGAAAGCAACTTATTTTCTTTAATCAGCACAGCAAATAGTCATGAGGAATGTCCAGAGACGCTGATAAGTCTTGAAGTGCCAATAACTTTCAGCTTCTGCTCTAAGTTGAACCATGCTAAGGTGAGCCATTCACTCAACAGTCCTACTTTGCCCAGCTGTCCCACGCACACCAAACGTAAAAGACAGGTTTAAAAACACTTGAAGCAACAAACCTTCAGACGGATTTAAAAAAGCTAATGAAGGAGAAAAAGAACTCACGGTGGCCAACCCTCAAAGGTGAGGACAACAAAGAGTGTCAACATGGCATTCGCGACATTGTCAAAGTTTAACTCCGAATGAGTCCACACCCTCTCCACCACATCAGCTGGTCGACCGTGTTCGTACTCGATAAAGAAGCCCCTGATGAAGGCAGATAACCGAGGTTATGCCTTCCCCAACCAATCTGCGTCAACCTCCTTATGGGCTTACTTGCAGTCTTGTTCAGTGAGCTTGGAGGGATCGTTGCAAGAAACGTACTTTCCTTTGAATAGCTGTACTCCGATGACGGCGAAGACGAATTCAATGAGAACTGTTACTAGCATAATGTTTCCTATGCTCTTCAAGGCTGTGACCACGCATTGCACCACGTTCTGTCATGAAAACAAACGGCAATGATTCGTTATATACGATATTGTTTCCTGAAGAGATAACTCGTAAAAGATGTGAATAATGGCCTCAGCTTTTTTGCCCACCCACCCGACTACTTCTAAAGCCCAAATTTACCGCAAGCAGTCAACTAAAAAAGGCCATAGATGGTGCTATTAAGCTCTGAGGGTCTTACTAGCAAGTTTGAAAGTTGTAGGGTCTTCCATACAACCAGAGCTAATCACAACTCCAGTAAAAACTTATAGTAATTGGAATTTTGCAGGTCTCCCACCATCACATGCGAATGAGAGGGAAAATCTCTATTCGCACTACTTCAATCACTTCCTGATTGACTTTTTCTGAGTTACGCATAATTCTTACATCCCTAGGCCGTGACAAATTGTGCCGAATAGGCAGATCAGATAGTGTTAGCACAGGAACGAAGACCGTGCCGATGAGAAGGCTTGTGTCTAGCAATGTATGTCGCAAAATAGCTAAAGAATTTTAAACCAGAGACAAACCTTCAAACCCTTGGCTCTGTTGATGGCTCGCAAAGGCCGGAGTACACGCAACACACGAAGAATTTTGACCGCCGAAATAGCCTCATTTCTAGATGGAGAAAATGAAGGAGATAAGTCAATTTCGAAAACACTGGAGACTAAGATGACAAAAAAAGTTTTGTTGGTGAAAGAGATTTTTCTCCCTTTGAACCCTCCAACCCTTTAATTGCACAACATTTGCATTTAAATTCACGCCGATTTAAAGCGACCAAGTGAACGGATTGGCAAGTAACTTACTCCAACATGAAGGAGATTAGCGCAACAAAGACGACGATCAGATCGAGAAGGTTGAACATGCTTCGCAAGAAGGCACCTTCGTGCATTATGAAACCATGAGCAATCATCTAAAAGTACAAAAAGAAAACACTCGGAAGGCAACGATGTGCCCTCTATCGGCTTCCAGTGTGTCAACCACTTTTCGGCCTTTTAGACGAAAAATAAGCGAGAGTTCACAACTGTACATCGAAGGCTAGCTATCAGAAATTGAAGCTCTACTGCTAATTTCTTAGTAGCAGCCAGCTACACAAGAAGAGTACACTTCCCACATCAATTAACGTTGTACAAAGCACATATTCTTGCAGGAAGACTTGTTTTAATCTGCATACCTTTAGCGTGATCTCAATTGTAAAGACGCTTGTGAAGAAGTAGTCGAAGTAATTTAGAATCTGAAAGTGAAAATGTGTAAGTAACCTTCACAAAAGTGGTAGTGGGGGTTAAATGTACACAAACGACGCACCCGATTGGTCAAAGAGTACGTGTTTAGAGGATCTTCAGCACAGAGTAGAGCTGAACTGATCAGAATACAAGCGAGAACAAGATTCGTGAAAATTGGCGAAGAGACAATATTGTGACAAAATATCCTAAACCTGTAGGAGTAGCAAATTAACTCAGATGTCAGAAAAACAGCATAGCCTACTTATTCGTAGGATCAAAGATGAAGAATGCTGAATAAGGAGGAATTGTTTGTGGGTTTGCCATATTTATCTCCATTTGTTCCAACTTGGAGGCAAGATTGCCATCGTCCGGTTCCTCCTCCTCGGCAAACATCTCTTCATAGTTCATCTCCATGTAGGCTGAAAGCAGGCAAAAAATAAGTCAATGGATTTAAAATATTTCCTTTGCAGGTGCAATAAAGGAAGAAATATGTTCTTTTTTTCATGCGGTTCCTTTCATGCTGCCAAGGCTGTCGTTCGCGGTAAGGGCTAAAACTCACCATCTAATGGACCTTTCGCATTAGCAGCTCTAGACAACAACCAATATATGTTGCAAATTAAAGTTGCTTAACCGAGTTCATCGATGAGGCGGAAATATATACGTCAACTTACGCCTCAGCAGCTTTCTTGGCAGCCGCGGAAGATCCAGGTCGATCGTCAACGTCGTTGTCGTCATCCATCCCGCCCTCTTCATCATCCTCGTCTTCGTCACTTAAATTGTCCACAGCGATAGCAAGAAAGACGTTCAGTAGAATATCTAGAGAGGTTGTAACATCAATTATTTTGGCAATAAGAGATATGCAAGTTAAAGGACGTCACGATGAAAGGAACTAATTGAAGACTCTCGTAAACTTTGCTTAGGAATAACGTTGCTACAGTCCTGGCGTGAAGTAACGACTATCGTCCAGATCTGATGGCATATTTTAAGATGTTAAAAGGGCCACTTCCAAAGCCGTCTCCATGAGGAGGCTTTGGTACGGGTAGTCAATAGAAACAGGCAAGAAAGCGACGTCACAAATATGTGGTGGAGGGCGCAGATAAAGTAAGAACACCAAGTAGACGCAGCAGCAATGACAAATACGGTCAATCTGTAAAAATGATGGTCCATGTAAGCCCATTCAACTTCACTCCTTTAGGGGAGACACGCACAATCTAGAAATTTCCACGGTATGCACAGGCTGAAAGCGGCGATCCCATAAATAATCCCTTCTAATTTGTTCTCCGGCATCCGGCACGAAAGGCCAGAATTAATTTGGAGATTATAGGAAGTGCTTATGGTGAGATGGTGAGCCCTGAGGATATCAGAGGATATTCAGTCCAGCATTGGCTCAAACTTGACTTAAAAAGATTCACTTTTGCTGCCCTTGCTGCTAAGCCCACACATGTTGACATGAAGCCCTATTAACTGGTGATAACTGTGGTTATGCAAAGTCACACATCGTGAACAACTTCTGGAATTCGATAAGGACTGGTACAGTGCCTTACGGATATGAGTATGTTAGAATTCGCATTGATACGACATTCCAGAGTGGTTTGCATCGCACATATATGGCAATTCTGAATTCAAATGTACTCTCAAAGTAAAAATTAATCAACAGCACCTTAAATTTGGAAGTGGAACATTCTTTTCCTTATTCTACGACTAAACGTTTGATGATGGAAAGCGCAGAACTCACAGTTTCCAACGACGAAGACAATGACGAAGTAAATTACCACGAAACCAAACAAAGGGCCATCGGCTTTGTAGGCACGCATCCCATTGTACATCACAGCATTCCAGTCCTCACCAGTCAGCATCTGAATGGAGAGGACAATAGGTGTGTCAATGCATATTAAGCCACTGCAGAGCAAGTCTAGGGAGAATGGGATTATTCAACTCCTACCAATTTCCCTGCTATCTTTCCAATCGCATCCTTCGGTATTCAACCAACAACCGGAAACTTTAGGAAAGTATTTCAAAGCCCTCTTCGAGAGGGACAAGATCTCCTTGCACTCAGCATGGTTGCAAAGAATTAGATTTCTAGTTCTTGCAAAAATGAAGTTCGAATTTACGTGACATGGCAGTGCATTGTCACTTCAATTTTGAGCCCACAATGGGGTCTCGCACACCGAAACAACCCGCGTGGCCGTAAACAAGCAGTGGCATTGTCGCTAGTGCTCAACCACTCGATCGTCGGTTTTTTATTCATCAAAAGATGTTGATGTCATTTAGCTATTCACACTGTCACAACATGGTGAGGGGCGGCCTTATGAGCTATCTGAAGGGGCATTGTGAAATACGTACATCAGGCCCGCAGAAGTGAGTATCCAGTTCTACAACAACTTCTGCAGATTCGATTCAATCACACCCACCGGAAGCAATCAAATTTAATGACAAGGCTTTGAAGAAGCATTGCTACCTGAAACTTTATAAATTACACCCCTTGAGTCCTGAGAAATCCTCTACAGCATTCCAAATTTTTGAAACTTCAAAAACCCATGATACGTAAGCTACCCGTGCCTGCAGAGTAAGGATGACTCCTCTACCCGTCTCAAGCTTTCGCCTCTCCGATTGTTGGAGTTGGAGACTGAACTAGAACCGAGATCACGCACCTAAACGGCGAATCATTGCAAAAACATTCAGAAAGAATGTGGGTTGGGATAAGAGGTTGATCTTGCCAATGAACCACTCAAAGGCGAGTATGCCACGTTTATTCAGAAACGTCATCCTTGCTGTTTAGAAATACTAACCGCAAAACACCCCTCCAAATGGATGCGAGAAGGGATGACTAGACTAATCTAGCACGAATTACGGAAAAAAAGACGAGAAATATGAGAAATGGACTTCTGTAGTTTAGTCTAATGTTTGAAAAGCATTCCTTTCTGAACGGTTGTTTGTCACGTACGCATAGGTTGTACCCTTTTTGCCTTCAACCCGTAATGGGCGAGAAAGGGCAGATGAACTGAAGCCTGGTCTACAGACTCCCTTGATTGCGACTTCAAAATCATCATATCCAAACATAGAGCAACACTAACAAAACAAACAAACAATACTTTGAATTCGCCAATCAGGTCTACCTTTTATCACGGGTAAGTGAAATGTATTGTGCTACTCAGCGACAATAATCCTCAAGAGCGAGGGATTGGTCGGTACTAACCTGAAAAACAGTGATCATGGACTGAGCGATGCCATCAAAGTGACTTCTAGGCTTGTCAGTGTTGGGAAAATTGAAGGTGCCACCGAACCACTGCATACCCAAAAGAGAACAGATGAGAATGAAAAGGAAGAGGAGAAGCAGAAGACCGGCAACAGATTTTATCGATTTCAGCAGACGGTTCACCAATCCTCGTAGACCAGCCCAGTAACTGAAGAAAGGGAGGGAAAAAGTAGGCATTCTGAGTGAAAATGAAATAGGAGCACAATCAAATGGCCTGAAGTCCTCCATGAAAATCTCGATCAAAAGGCGGAGAAGTCCAAAAGTGGTGAAGGACAATTCATTGAAAGTCATGATATACGTCATGACGGTATTTGCCGATCCAGAGTGGTAGCCGCAATAACAGTTATGGACGCTTTCAAGGCAGGATGAAGTTTGGGTTCCAAGGATAAGAAATTATAAAAGAGACGTTTTCACCAGCAATACGGACCTCACACTACACCAACTTTCCCACAACACCACAGCAACAGCGGATTTGGAATGCTTATGGGGTTCCAAAGATGTTCTAACTATTCTTCCTCAACCTTCAAGCCTGTAATATTAAGTTAAGTTTATTTATAAGTAAGCGACTTTTGCAGTCCCAGTCACATCTGCAGCCTACCACTTCGAGCAAGACTGTGAATCGGTCTATCCTCGTTGATGAATGGAAAGATAGGTGGAAGAGGAAATTGGCGTACTTACTGGGTGATTTTGAAGATGCGCAAGAGACGAGCACAACGCAATACTGAAAGCCCCATTGGGTCGATAACACCCAAGTAGGTGAGAATAATCTCCAAAATGGAGGCGACAACAACGAAAAAATCGTAACGGTTGAAGAGGGTTGCAAAGTAGTCCTGAATGCCGTATGCGCACATCTTGATGATCATCTCCAAAGTGAAGAGGCTCACAAACAACACGTTAGCGAAATCTATGCAGAAAAGGAAGTAGACGAAGGAATGGCAGGCACCATTTTGTAAAAAAAACACCCATGCGTCGACAAACGTAAGCAGACTCACTCTGAAATTGATTGAGCCAGAGTGGTTGGTTGTGATGTTCGGTGACCAGAACAATGGTATTGAGGAACACAAAGGTGAGAATGAGCGCAAAAAATTGGCGACTCTTGACAAACGCTATTATCACTCTTCGAAGACGTTTCCGAAATTTCTTTAGTCGTCTATGGGAAACAAGAATGAAAGATGATCTATGCACTCAATTGGAAATTCAGTGAGTCGCAGATTGTAGCTTTTAGTAGGGAACTTTCAAAATGTTTCAAAATGTTTGGTAATGAAGACGTGCCTGTCTGATTGGGAACGCTAAAGCAAATCGTGTGTGATGCGCACAACCACAAATCCAGCCCTTTTCACGGAGGAGCCGAATCGGTGTCAGAGATAAATGAACAACACACGATGACTTCCAACACTCCTGCCTTTGGATTGAAGAAGGGTTAACATGCAGAGGACCACTGCTAAGATGGTAGGTCGTGATCGACAACACTGACAAGAATTCTTGTCACTCTGCTTCAACAGGTCCGACACGGCCTCAAACATGCATCTGCTTTCTACCTTGTGCTTTTATAAAAAAATCACTTGTGCCATACTCTGGCAGCATGACAGCTCTCTCTTCCCCCCTCCCCCACTTGTGGTCCTCTTGGAAAGAGGCTACCACGTAGTAGGGCCAAGTTAAGCATTTTCCAATGCCACCAGACAAATCCTCCATTAATTTGAAGGGTGAAATGCTCGAAAATTCTAACTAAACCTGTGATCCTCACTACTTTGCCGGACTGCCTTCGATGCTATACCATTCTGAATTCCAATGGGTAGTAGTCACTGCGAGCCGTGTCAAGAAGTAATCGGAAGCAAAGCACAATCCTTGCTAATGGGTCTTTCAGTTATCACGAGCGCCACCACCGCCTTCGTGTTACGATCAGCCAGTTGTGCCTACACACCTCAAAATTGAGCCAAGACGGTTGAAGTGAAGAAGGTGGAGATGAAATTGCAACTATACTGGACTGATGGTTTCGATTATGTAACCTTAACTCTGCGGTCAAGCAGAATTGAGGTCACACAAGCAGACTAGCAAAAGTACACTTTCGTGATGTATTTAAGGGTACCAGACAAACAAGTCGTTTGAATTCACAAGGGAAATTATACAGCTGAGCATTGTTGGTACAATATCCCCTCTTTAAGGTGTATTTATTAAGTCTAGGAGAACAAATCTGTTTAAAAGGGAAACACAGTGATTTGGCTTCCAGGGAGGGATCTCCACTTCTCAAATAAGCGATTCCACAAAGCCAAGGCTAATATAAAGTTCACGACCCCTCTCTATGACTTTTTGTCCCCAAATTTCTTGCTTGCAGCCGCACGTCAAAAAAAACATGCAACATTTAGCTCCACAAAACTCTCACAAACAGAATGAGGTCAAATCAAACCGAATGTGCTAGACCTGGTGTGGTGCGCGTGAACAGGGAGGTGAGTGTGAAAAAAGATTGCAGTTTTATTAGAATAGTTTTTTGACAATTGTGGAAAGGTTAGAGGTACCGAGTATTCCAGAAAAATATCCTCCTTTCACCTTCCCCAGCTGGTCAGTGCCTCGTCAGTTCATTAACTTTTTGGTTACACACAGGAAAGTAACATAAATACTGATCAGCATCGCTTACGATTTTATCAGTTGTAATGCATCTCAACGCTCATAACACAACCACATCTCCCGAGAAACCTGTCCTATTTTGCATATTGCCGCATCAAAAGCGCTAAGTAGTCTTTGAGCTTTCTATGGATTTAAAGAGCAACACTGACGCTACTGTAAAGACTGGAAGGAGGTTGGACATAGAGCTGTTTAAAATGGATAGAAAAGCGAATTCCTGGCCCTCTTACCTCATTCCTTCGCAGCACTGGGACCTAGCAGTTGGCTCACTTGTGGCCTCCTGATCCTCCACAATTTTCCCATCCATAAGACCTGAATGAGAGAGTCCAAAAAGAAGACCTTTCGTATCCGGTCTTTCCTCCCGTTATGAAAGTATTTTGGATGAGGATTAGATCTAATCGTGTGGCGGAATTCTTGCAAAATAGTTAACACCTAGTTTTGCAGTTTATTTTTAATGGTCTTGATCATTCGAAGCCGCATTTAAATATAACAAGGTGTTTTTATTAGCGTGACAAGCGAATTTGCCACGATTGCTACGGATAAGACCACATGTATAACACCCTGTCAGTCGTTCAGCCCGAAAGAAAACTCACATACGCAACAGGTAATTGGTGTCAGCGTTAATAAGTCAAATGTGAGTGGCCTTTACAGGATGCACGACAAATACAGGGAATGGGACAGAGGGATGAAGCAGATCTGAGTATCAAAATGACTCGATAAATTAGCTAAACAGCCAAAAAAATGTTTAAAAGCCGATTTCGAGGAAAACGCGGATGCAGTAGATGTAGACAAGACTGCAGTCCACCAAACGTTACGAGGATCTTATGAAACCACAAATGTCGTTGGAATTGATAGAAAAGAAATAGTAGAACGTTTCAGCGTGACACGTCGCTTTGATTCCTCAGTACAACCAACAACATGCTCAATGAGGCACAAAAGATACATAAGAGCCGCCTTTAAAAATACAAATGATTCCAAAAGTAAGGTCAACCCACTACGCTTAATGAATGAGGATCCGGTGCACATGAGATAGTAGAAGGGATCAATGACAGCGACAAGGACGAAAATTCCCAATTGTCAATTAGGAAGAAATCAGAAGAAGAACAGGTACAGATTTGTGCTAGAGTAGGTGATGGAAGGGTTCGAGTTATATTGCTCCACTGAGAATAGGTCTTTTTTTCTCAATGGTTGACAAGAAGCAATTAATTCCCCAGTTCTCCTTGCTAGCCTTCAGAATGCACTACATTTTTTGAAGGAGTGAGAAATTAGGGCTTGGCCCCCCCTCCCCCCTCCCCCCCCCGACAAGTGGATGTATATCGGGAATGCAAGGTGAGTTGGTAGGTTGATGGAGGGTGATGATACCAACTGGGAGTTGGAGATTAACTTATCAATAATATGCCCATTGGTCTAACGGGCAAGAGAACAAAAAAAAACAAAACTACCTCAAAGCACCAGTCGGTCAGGTAGTTAACGCACAACGCAAAATAATTGTAATCTTTTAGCGTGGAGGCTGAAAGGATCAGCCACCGAAGTCTGTTAGCATTAGTTAACGGGTGTGAAACCTCATACAATTCTAGATTGCTTTCATATGCCAATAGTAACGTCAGAGAACTTTGACACGTCTAAAACACTGAAGAACAGATGACTAATCACCTCAAGTCACGCCTTAAAACACTTCCTGACGTTTCTTTCCTCTACCAGATCCGTTAACCTTGCCAAAACGTTGCACACCAAGTACTTCAGGAAGCCGCTACAGCTCCAGAAATACGATAAAAATAGGCAATCGTATAGATTGGAATGGTACTAGGTAAAATCGAAATCTTGGAGGAAGGAAGAAGCGTGGAGCACAATCAACACATCATTTCGTGATAAGTGTATAAAATTGCTGCATGCAGTACACAAGTTACGGAAAGTTTTTGGGTGAACCAGCGGATTTTTGGTGCGCCCTCCTTCAGAGAAAGCCATCGCTTTGACAGGGAAGAGAGTTACCGTGGCATAAGAATTGACGGCCGATAACATACACTTTTCGCATGCATCCGTCCAGCTTCTGACGCAACCAGAGAAATTCAAACAAGCAAACGAGCGAGTGGACCGGATATTTGAGGCGTCAAAGAAAAGTGGACGCATTTTGATTAGCAAAAAAGCTGTTTCCTGAATTCCAATCAAGATTCAATCCAGATTTGTCGAAATCATTTGTAAAGGAAAAAATTCAAGGATCCTGCTCCTGTTAAATCACACGTTATCCCCTCCATGAGGTAAAAGACAAAAATGCAAGCATTACAAAACATTCCACCAATTTTCACCTGCAATGCCCAACTTAAAAAAAACGGACTTACGGGTAGTGCTCGCGACATCATCTGAGAATGGTAAAATTTGTTGAGCGAAGCTCAGTGCCAAAAAAAGGAAATGGGACCTTTCCAAGTGGAAATGCTTATGTCTATGGCTAAAATTAAACAACTTTATTTCCAAACTTTGGTCCATTTCAGGAAGAACACAGAAGCGGTATTTGAGACGGAAATGAGATTGCTGGAGTGAGTAACAAGAGTCCACTTACCAGACTCCAACTCTTTGTTACTTTTCGCATCGGCCTCCGATTCAGAAAGGTCCTCTATTCGATGGAAGAAGAGAATAAGTATTGCATTTCTTGTGTCCCAACTACCATGTGATATAGCTCATGAATAAAATGGAAGTGGACGATTGCTATTCAAGCTGCACGAGAGATTAAACATTGAGACAAACCGAGTGATAAGTACCTTCAAGTATCATTTCGCATCAAATTTGCAGAGACAGAGACATTGACCTCACCTGCAATTTCAATCCACTCCTTGTAATTTTCATAGTCCTGCTGCTCCCTCTTTTGTTGTCTCTCCTTCCGGAATAACTCCTTTCGATCTGTCTTATCCTTTTCCTTAGTGAATTCTCTTAATTACAGTAAAAATTAGTTTATCTTAGCTAATACAAAAGATGCGCTGCAAATAGGCTCCAATCAAGAGTTGAACAAAGGGCAAATGAAATGCCCGATAACTCACCCACTCAAGACCCCAAGAACGAGATTCATGACAAAAAAGGAGCCCAAGAGAATGAGACTGACAAAGTATATCCATGGCCACCAATGACCAACCGCGGCGGCAATCTGAAAACACGCGGAAAACGGTGACTCGATTGGGTATTTTGGCATTTCAACTTTCAATTTAGCGATGTGATCCGCAAGAATGACCAAAATTCTTGTAAATCAAGAGGAATCTAGCAGTAAGGTGAAAAAGGGCGTCTCTAGTATCTTCGCTTACCACGGTTACATGGACAAAAAATGTCAATCACGTTTGTTCAGAAAAAAGAAAACAAGAGAATGGCACTTTCAAGGAGGCGAAAAAAGGACCTAAGCATTGTGATGAAATTCACCCTTTTGTTCAGGGCATATGCACGACTTAATAGGACTACACCAAACAAGAGATGGAGGCAGATTTCCGCCACTCTTCCATTTGGTAGAAGGGGAGAGAAAACGAGCTTGGCATTACACCTCTTTTGCCTAGAAGTATAACTGTATTTACAATTAGCCAACCGCAAAACTTGCAAAGGGGCAGAATTCATCGCATCTCTCCATAGATTGGGACAACGGAGATGAGAGAAGAATCTATGAAAGCACAACACTACCTGCGATTCAAAAAAGTTCGTCTTTGTAAGCAGCCAAACGAGGACGAAACTGCTTACGTTCTTGATTCCTGATTTGTCCAAGGCTTGCCTTGAGAACCACAAGTATGTCACTCTTTTGATAAAATGGGAAATAGGGAAGAAGAACGCCTTGACGCTTTTGGTGGATGATATGCCCTTTAGTAAACGTTATTCAAACAACGCGTTTATGACTTCCCCTACCATACAAACTGCCTAGCCAACTTTACATGATTGCCAAATCCTCATGGTAGGAAAAAGAATAATTCTTCAAAACAAGGACTTCCTTCCCATCCGTCTACTTAGCACGGATATACTTCCAAAAAGGGATTCTACCTGCAAGCCTCTGAGTTGACATGGATAAAGTTGATGAATAGCAGTTTCTCTTAAAACTCACGTAGGCCCCAACGGTTGTCCAACCCTCCATGGTGACACAGGTGAAAACAGTGAGCATAGCGTAGAGGAAGTTGTCAAAATTCACCAAACCATCCTCAGGTCCCACGTAGCGCTCGCCCAACTCGGGTGGCAAATCCCGGCATACGTAGTTGGGTCCAATCTCAGAGCAGTTAAAGGCCATGGAGTAAGAGCTATTAGAGCAAGGACGTGGGTTGTCCATCATGATGTCTGACGAAAAGAACCGAAAGTTTATGAGGAAAAATAGGCTCCTGATGACATGAATACAGAGTTCTTGGGTTCGGCACCTAGCAACTAGAATCTTTTGCAGTCCGTCTGCGTCATTAGCATGCAAATGGCAGTGATGAATGAGGCATAGGGAAATAAATAAATGAGCTGATAAACAGGCAACCCAAAACTGATTAGGTCATGCAGAACTGCGGATCGACCATTCAACGTACAAACATATTTCGGAGGTATGAGCGAGCAATTATTACAGAGTTCTGTAACGTTCTTCAGTCCATCTAGAAGTAAAATGACTGTGTTCAGGGTTGAAAAACCACCAATTCCCAGCTTAATATGAAGGGGTGACTTAGGCTTCTGAAACTTCGTACGTGCATTTGTAGGAGCAGCCCCATTGATTAACGCACAACCAGCCAATCAGAAAGCGAAACGATATTTAGGAATCAAAAAAAAAAGAGACAAAACATTGGGAGGGGGAGAGAAGGAGATGGTGGGGAGCAACACGAGAAGCTTGATGAAGTCTAAAGACAATCAAACTTACAAGTGGTATTTTCCTGAACAAGGTAGCAAGTGGCATGTAATTTGCTCTGGAACAATTCCAGCCCAATGATGGCGTAGACGATGATGAGGAAAATTACGAGGAGGAAAATGTGAAACAATGGTACCATAGCCGTGACAATCGAGTTGAGAACAACTTGAAGACCTGTGAAATGAAGAAAGATCACGGCCAATTGATTCTAATCGCATAGCCCACGTCAAGATTTTTCACTACCCGAGTCACAAATGCATGATGAGACTGTATGCGCGATTACAAGTGAAGTAAAAGTAAACATTTGAGACTTAATAGCGACATTGACAAAGTGAAAAAGTTGGGTACACCAAAGAGGTCCAACCTTAACCAATCAAGCTAAAAGACTTGTGACTCATCAGTTAGATTTCCTCCCAATGGCAGCGAGTAAACACTAGACCAGAACTTCTTAGGGTGTCTTTTGCCATGTTCTACGCCGTGTGCGTCATCCCATAAGCACCCAGAAAAAAGTACGCCAAGTGCATGTCACTCTCTTAGTTAACGTACTTGGAAGGCCCGACACCAGTCGAAGAGGTCGTAGGACACGGAACGCTCTCAACGATTTTACATCCAACTTGGTATTTTCGAGACATTTTGAGCCCAATCTAGGAGTGCAATATCAGGAGGACGTCGCAAAGGCAACAAGTCGAATAAGATGCCGCAAGGATGGGGAAGAACTCACCCAATCACAACAATGGAGAAGTCGAGCACATTCCAGAAATTTCGCAAATACGCGTCTGGATGCAAAACAAAGCCATAGGCAATTATTTTCAGCACGGCTTCAGTAGTGAAAATAATGAGAAACACCAGCTCTGTCTTCTCCTGAAAGTGTAAACACAGACAAGAAGAGATGGAGGAATGGGAAACAATAGGTGAAGGATTGTGGGAACAGTGAAATACACCAACATACCAGGGCAACATTTGTAGCATTGTAATCGCCCATAGGATAGGGATGATTGATGGCCAAAGCGATGCAATTGGCAAGAATTGTTGCGAGGATGAAGAATTCAAAAGGTCTTTTTGAAAGGGAAGAAGTTAAGGACTCTGAGTAGCCATCGGCGATTGAGAGGGTAAGAAGCAGCCATAGACCACGGAGTCAGACCCTAATCATTGGTACACGAAACGTCTGTTCACTTGTTTGTGATGAGCTGCAGCCTAAAAGTCTTGTTTCTTCCAACAACTCAATCAGTCCTTTAGCACACACCAGCAAGACTACCTTGCCTTCGCTTAGGGCCTTATATGACACCCTGTTGACACACCACCAAAGTGATGGAGAAAACCAGTCTACTGAGGAGTGGCAGTAGAAACGATCAACTTCAGAGTAGTTAATTAAAGCGTGAGCTTTGGCTTTTAGAGGCAGCTGAACACAAATAAGATGGGAGACTACGTCCAAATTATTATTAATCCCTGCATGCAGATAAAAAACAAATGAAGTTGCAACCCCTTTGTAACCCATTTAAAGGAGTCAAGAGAAGGCCAACTCCTCTTTCAAAACTCGATAGGCGATGAAACTGGTTTAAAACCCTTCCGAGATGGTATGATCGGAAATACTTGCTTGTTTTTTCCCTAAAGCTAACTCTGGAACGAGCTGACTATGCATGGCTAAATACGCAGTAGGAGATGGACTTTAAAAGAAACCCAAAAGAGGGAAGACAAAATGCAAATCATTTTCGCGGAGAAGAAGAAGCAAGACTGGAGTTCTTTATAGAAAGATGAGAAGAAAACTGACTAATAGAACACACAGCGTACTATGAGAGATGAAGTAAATATAGGGCCAAACTTTCACGTCAAAACAACGCTTTAGGTCCAGATGTGTACTTTAAATGTCAAAAAGCAGAGGCTCCTTGCATCAACTGCCCTCCCCTCTTTCACTCTTTTGGTGAAGAATGGCTCCTTTTTAAGGCTGTCACTAAGATACGATTTAGAAGAATGGGTATCTGCTACGCGATCGGGGGCGCCGAAGAATAGTGTCGCAGCAACAATGCCATGCTAACTGAGGTGTACGTGTCACATGAAGTACCAAACGTGCGGACGTGCATGGGCGCACATGCGCACACAGGAGGCACTTCTGCACGCGTAGGCACACGCACGGCACGACTATCGATTGACTGGTAGGTGCGATTGGGCTAAGGGGATTGAACGGCACATTGACAGTACCTAGGGGAAGGGAATTCGCCCATTTATTGATAAATCACATGTTATCAATCCTATTTAGGCGACATTATGGGACTAAGCGGATCGTTGAGAAGGTAAATGTTAGTCCAACCAAACAAATACCACAATAACGGCCAAACACAAAAGCTGCTCTTCACAGAAGAAGAGTGTCTCCACCGTGAACGATTCTTGATAAAAAAAATGATGTGTCCCGTTAAACCAACCACTGAAAGACATAACGTCGTAATCTAGTGTGCTAGAATTATATGAAATGAAATAGAAAAGGCGCAGGCGAAACCAAAGGGCGACGCTTCTAATTACATACTTTGGATAAATGAACAGAAGTCCCCTCTTTCCATTAATGAAAAGCATAATAGAATGCAACATGTGCAATGAAGAAAGTGAAACTGAGAGTTAAGTACGAAAGACTTGCTTCACAATTGCAATAAAAAGAAGAGCGGTGCAAAAAGAAACCACTTACTTCGAAGTTGTAAGCTAACTTACTACTTTGAAATACTTCAAGTAATGACAGTAAAAGGGAAGCGGTCGGAATGAACACTTCAACGCAAGATAAAAAACAACAGAGTCCCAGAATCCTGTTAATAAAATAGCTAACTTAATGATGTACTGAGCGAAATTCTGTCGATTTATTCATTAAACAAGGAAAAGGATCTCACATCAGAGTATTATAAACGAAAGGATACTTGGCATCAACAATCATTAGACAATAACGCCGAATCGGATTTCTCTTTGTAAGAAGAAAAAGTGAACGGTTGGGATTGAATTGAGGACAAATCCTGCGACGCCTTTTTGATTGTCTATCCTTAAGCGCCGCAATAGCTAAGTCCGCAATCACCGGTCGGGTGCCAGCGAGGAACGGATTACCGCCTGCTCTTGGACCCCAGGGGTTTCCACCAGGAATGTTCATTGCCATTGTGACTGCAAGTCAAAATCCATACCAAATAATTAAGGTGGTGGTGCCGCAAACCGCCACTTGGCAGGGGAGTGTCAAGGTCGTGAGCTTCCTGCTGATGAGTTACAACATATACGAAGAACTTTCTGTTACTTACTAAAAAGGTGATAAAGATCCATAACTGATTTTTATAAATTTTCAGCAAAGTAAAACACAAATATTTGAATATTTTTAAAAATTATTTAGAGTTGACCTGATGGATAAAATTGTAATATATTGCTCATATAACCCCTGTATATGTGCCTCTTATTTAGGTGCTTCTTGCATGCAAATGGTTTTTGTATTTATTCCTACCCAAAGCCTTTTCTGCTTAGGCAGGTGATAGTATATTCCCTCAGTATCTAAAGACGAAAGTTTGGCGCGGCATGATGGTGTGTCTGCCTCGCTGAGAATCAAGATGTGTTAGGTGTGGCGTCCCGAGACTTCCTACAGAGTGAGCGAAAGTAGTAAAAGAGGTTATATATGTACTTCGAAGAAAACAGAGCAAATGGGTCTGAGCATGGCCCGACGGCCAGCCCACGAGTACAAGGGCTAGACAAATCCTAAGTGACCGCCAAACGTCAGGTAGTTACATAAACAAAGCACTGTATTAGAGAACATTGCTTAAGTGAAGAGGGACGATGTGCCAATCCGTTTATTGGAATGCCAACATGATCGGACGTCTTCTTACTTCTTTGTGTGGGCTAGCCTTCGGACCTCTGCATTCACTTATTAAGTTAAGCCTCGTGTTTTCTGTTACCAAATGAGAAATCTCAGAAAGCTAGAAAATATGGGTGGATCTTTATTCAAACTATGACTATCCACTAAATGATGACATCAGTCAAGTGTGCAGGTGTGTTTAATGTGGCGAAGAGTAGAAGGTTATCAGCGCGGCTGCGATGATCTCACAGCAATAATACGGTAGCAAGGAAATGCTCTTAAATGCGGCTTAAAAGTGAGAAATAAGTTCCTTAACATCATAAGCTTAACGCCTGTTATAAGTTCTTTTAATGTGCGAGTCCCACAATTTTCTGAAATTGATAGGACGTTCCACAGACTGGCAGCATTGAAGACGTTTAAAAGTATTGCATTTATCCGCAACGGGAGGTAGATAGGCGGGAATAAAACATTCTAACCACGTTAACGTTTGTGTTATGTTATGCAAATTAATCGCATTACGCCACATTATTTTAATCAGTCTAGTAACTTAGTTACAGCATTGTTAAAACACTGGACGAACAATTTTTTCCTTTCTCCTGCATTTTTATCAAAGTGACCTTCAGTTTCTAGCACCTACCGATGCTGGCGCAAGAACAAGGAGCATATCAGAGGCGGTACGCTGAGGAAGATCTACTTGGCATCATGTAAAGACGCTGTGCCTATGTCACCTTGAGGATATATCTTCGCGCTCCCTACGAGTTGGATTTGTATACTAATTAAGCAGCCGCCTCGTCCCTACAAAGGCACCCTAAACAACTTATGTTTTATACAGTCCCTCTTGTCCTTAGACCACCGTTCCCGGTGCTGGCTGTTTAAGTTCCGTCACATGGCTTCCTGTTCGCCACCGCATAATCTGAGTCTTCGCAAGCTACAAGCGGCGTGCAATGCTTTGTTTATGTGACTACCCGATGTTTGGCGGTTACTTTATGACTTATCTGGAACTTATACTTGTGGCTGGCCTTCGGGCCGCGTTCTGGTCAAGTTGCTTTGTCCTCTTTGGAATACATGTATTTAGCTTCGCCTACTACCTCCTTACAGCCGGTGGGAAGTCTCAAGACGTCACGCGACAGACCTGCATATGGTCTGATCTCGTTATTATAAGTGCAAATCTTCGCATTCTAAATGACGTAGTTCGAGTTTTAGCGAACCTTGATTGCTCCCCTATAAAGACAAATTAAACGCATTGGTATATATTAAAATCGTCTTACCCGTGAAGGTTATTTAACTGCAGTAGTATTCATCACACCAACTTTAGCGCACTGACTGTAATACTTTTTTATGTGATCACCTGATGCTCGACGATCACTTTAGTATTTCTCTGTCCCTTGTACTCGTGGGCTGGCCTTCAGGCCATACCCAGGCCCATTTATCCCTTTGTCTTCAGAATACATATACCTAGCTGCACTTACTGACTTCTTATGCCGGGTAGGAAGTTTCGGGACGCCACACCGACCTTAGACTTATTTACAAATAACTGCAAGTTTTGGAGTTCAGCAAATACGTGCCGTTAAACAAAATGTCGTTGGGGGTGCCTCTTTGTCATACAGCTCTGCCCACGTTACTAAAGCTTTTAGCCGTATCAATGTGCGTAATTAAAAATTATTAGTGCATGCATCCATTGACAATCACGGCAGCAGCTATTAACCAATGAAATGGCTAAGTTTTCGGAGGAATAACCTGTTTATCCAATCACTGTTTAGTTTGTGCTGTGTCGGCGTAGGTCTTCTGACTACGGGTGTTCTGTTGTTATTTACATTTCTCCATGGCCTCAATTTCACTCTTGAATCCAAAAGCTGAGTTTGCGAAGGCTCAAAATGCCTTTCGGATCAATACTACGGCTGCTCGTGGGCTGTATGAGGTGCTAAAGACAAACCTTGGACCAAAGGGTACTATGAAGATGTAAGCCATGTACTTATTTTTGATACCTCTAGGCTGGTTTCAGGCGCTGGCGACATAAAGATCACAAAGGATGGGAATGTCCTCCTTCATGAAATGGTAACGCTCTAATTGTGAAATTGGGAATTTTCTAGCAAATCCAACACCCCACGGCAAGCTTAATTGCTAGGGTTGCCACTTCTCAAGATGACTCCACGGGTGATGGGACCACATCAGTTGTCATCCTAATTGCTGAGCTCTTAAAACAGGCTGAGCTTCTCATTAGTGAGGGTCTCCATCCCAGACTTGTCACAGAAGGTTTTGATCTTGCCAGGGAAAAGTGCATAGAGTTTCTCGATGAATGCAGAGTTGATGTCGCCTCGGATATGCCCGAAAAAGCCACCCTCCTTGCCATCGCTGGCACTTCCTTGCGTACAAAGCTCCACCCAGACTTGGCGGACCATCTTGTAGAACCGGTTGTCGACGCTGTCCTTGCCATTAAGCAGCCTGACGAAGAGCTTGATCTTCATCGGATAGAGATCATGGAGATGCGCCATAAAACAGATATGGATACTACCCTTATTAGAGGTCTTGTGATGGACCATGGTGGGAGACATCCTGACATGCCGAAAAGGGTCACGAACGCCTACATTCTTACCTGTAATGTTTCATTGGAGTATGAAAAGACGTAGGTTACTACTCGCATTTTATTGCCGCTCTAGCGAAATCAACTCTGGGTTCTTTTATAAGACTGCTGAGGAACGCGAAAAATTGGTCAAGTCCGAGCGCGAGTTTATTGACAAACGTGTGCAAGCTATCATTGAGTTGAAGCGAAAAATGTGCGATATTGATGCTGGCAAGGGTGACTCAAAACCAGGATTTGTTGTGATGAATCAGAAGGGCATTGATCCCATCTCTCTCGACGCCCTCGCTCGGGAGGGTATCTTGGCTCTTCGTCGAGCTAAGCGTCGCAACATGGAACGTTTAGCTCTAGCCTGTGGTGGCTATGCAGTTAATTCCCTAAACGATCTCGTCCCTGATTGTTTGGGCTATGCCGGCCTTGTCTACGAATATGTTTTGGTAAGCGTTGACTTGGCGAGTTTATCGCGTATCCCTTTTTAAGGGTGAGGAAAAGTATACATTTGTCGAGGAGTGCAAGAATCCACAATCGGTTACTCTCCTCGTCAAAGGCCCTAACAAGTACACCATAACGCAAATCAGGGATGCGCTCAAGGATGGTCTCCGTTCTGTGAAGAATACTTTTAATGACGGTACGTAATTGGACTCGTGAAACATTTGAGATGCTCTTTGGTCATTGGAATTGGTTTTGCCTTGTGTCAGGCTGCGTCGTACCTGGAGCTGGCGCTTTTGAGGTTGTGGCTCATCGAGGCCTGAAGAAATTCGAGGACACCGTGAAGGGTCGTGCTCGCCTAGGTGTTAGGGCATTCGCTGATGCGCTGCTCATCATTCCGAAAGTTCTAGCCGCAAACTCCGGTCACGATCCTCAGGAAACCATTGTGAAGCTGCTGGAAGAGGCTTCTCAGGTGGAAAAGCGCAAAGGCACTTCAAAACAGCTGGTGGGTTTAGATTTGGCCACTGGCGAGGTTATGGAACCTGTCGGCGCTGGAATTTTGGATAATTATAACGTCAAGAAGCAGATGGTTGGATCTGCGTAAGCTGGTTCTCCTCAACATTTCATTAAGTTTACATTCTTTTATGTAAACTACTTTAACTTTCTCTATTAGGGCTGTTATCGCTACCAATCTCCTACTCGTTGACGAAATTATGCGCGCGGGTCTGAGTTCGCTCAAGGGTTGATGCTTCTAGTCCAACAAACTGAACCTCAATATACTGTTTAACACTTATGGTTTGGCTTTTGCTTTGCTGCTATCTTCCTGGGTTAAGTAGGTAAAGTTTGAGCTACCATTCTGTTTTATCTGTTAAATTTCCTATGAAAAGTCGGTTTCAAAAGGCCATTTTATTTAAATGTGGTGGACACTATTTAACCAACTCATTATATGAAATGAGGGACAAGGTTTTTGCTCCTTGGAACACAAATCTCTAGCTCCATACAAGGTTCCACGACTCTTTTAGATCGATGGTCTGAGGTGATTTAGTCACGATTAACTGTTCGGTTTTGGAGTCGAAGTTGAAAGAGCTCTGTGCATCATTGATGCTGACGGCTGAGGGCTTGCGTGTGATGCCGAATATCCGAACAAATGCCAGGGGCACCGGTCCTATTGGGCCCTCTCTGGTTCCTTGGCTGACACTCGCTTTTGCTGTCAGTTTCTGTTGTGAGACACGGAATGTGACATTCAACACTTCGCCGTCTTCTGTCTCTCCATCGTCCCACACCATTTCTCCACACGCCGTTCCGTTTAATAGCACTACAGTGACACCAATACCCATCTTCCTACCTTCCTGAGTGTTGATTGCTCCGGATGGATGCATTGGTAAGATACACCCAGCTTTGTAGAACACTGGGATCTTGTCAAGAGGTGCAGGAACGGGATAGAATTTGCCCTGAGAACGATAGCGCTCCAAACTTGAGAACTCTACCCATTCTCCCTGGGGTAGGTAAAGAGGTGTGAAGTCCATTCCCTCGCCTAAAACTGGGGCGACATTGAGACAAGAACCGAGGAGGAATTGTCTGGCGTTGTGATGGGTTGCCAGATCACTGGGGTAGTCAAAAGCTAGAGCCTTAGCCACCATTCTCCCATGATTTTTCGCCCCATGAAGGAGGGTGTACAGGTAAGGCAACAATTGGTAGCGCATATCGAGTGCTTTAGCTATCGCCTTTCGGGCTCGAATGGACCAAACGGCGGGGTCTTGAAGTCGCGCACCAAGGGTGTTGTGGTTTCGTGAAAAGGGGTAAAATGCACCTAATTGACTCCACCGGACGCAAAGCTCCTCAGTGGTGTTGTCCACGAAACCACAGATGTCTGCTCCAAAGAATGGCATTCCGAAGAGGTTAAAGTTGATCATCTGAGGGATTGAGGCAGCCATCTCACTCCATGTTGAAGTGATGTCTCCAGACCAGTGCGCTGTGTACCTCCCCGCTCCTGCAAACGAGGACCTAGTAAGTATAAAAGTCCGTTTTCCTGGGAAGATGCGTTGCAAGGCTCTGTGAGTGGCTCTAGCCTCATCGAGAGCGTACAAATTGTGGAGATTGTAATGTGTAACACCATTAGCGTGAAGAGCTGATGGGCAGATAGTTCGGAAGAAAAGAGTGCCTCCGGATATCTGTGGAGTGTAGGGAGGGTAGTCTAGTCGACTGGAGTGGTCGCAACCTTGGTTGGATCCGTCAACAAAATTGGATGGCTCGTTCATATCGATCCAGAGACCATCGTATGGAAACTGCTTTTGAAAGTCTCTTGCACACTCATACCACCATTGAAGAGTTTCATTTTTAGTGAAATCAGGATACACTGTCTCACCTGGCCATACCAGTCCTCTAAGAGGTTTCCCTGTTCGACTATCGTTGATGAAGACTCCAGAAGCTAAACCCTTCTGGTATGGTGCGTAGTCATCGCCAGCCTGAGTGGGAATGCCTACGTCGACGATGATCACTGTCCGAAGACCATACTTTTCTCGTAGTTCGGTGTGAAAGAACTGTGTCAAGCCCTTGAATTCGTCCTTTTTCGACAGCGTCCAATCTCGATAGCCATCCATATAATCAATATCTAACCACTGCACATCTTGTGGGATACCCGCCTTGCGGTTTCTTTCAACGGTTTCACGAATTTCCTCTACTCCGGTGTAGCCATACCGACAGAGCTGGAAGCCCAGAGCCCAATAAGGTGGTACCGGTGGGTGGCCAATCAGCTGGTAGTATTGAGCTACTACCTCATTTGGTGTTGGACCGACGAAAACGAAGAAATCGAGAATCCCGCCAGTTGTACGGAAGGTGAGTGATGGAAGAGGCTGTTTCGTCACCTCCATGGCATTGCTATTTAAGAAAAACATTCCAAATGCCGTGCCGTCAGGAGACAATCCAAGAAAGAAATTTTGAACGCCGTAGAGATTGGCATTTGGCCGAGGTATGTCATCCCTAGCCCAGAACACCATCCTTTTCCACTCATGCATATCGATGGGGAATGAGTCCTCCCTCTCTCCCAATCCGTACCCATGAATGGCGCGTACTTTGAAAGCCATTTGGAGAAACTGATTGGCATAAACGAAGGCGCTGGCCATAAGCCTAGTGGAATCTATGAGAACCACATCCTTGCCTTGGTCTTCTACACGCGAGATACTGAAACCCAATCGATTGATATCCACAGCTACGGAATACTTCATATCTCTCGGACACAGTGGATCTGGTGGATCAAGTTCTAATTTCGGTTCCCAACGCTCTGCATGAGAGTCGGTGATGCGAACTCGAACACGCGTATCTGTTTCAAAGGCGATATTTAGATTCACTTCATCTATTGGGTCTGGAGGCACAGAGTAAGCACCAGGCAGTCTTTTTGCGGATAAAGAAAGGCCGCAACCAGATCTAGTAATTTTTCCAGTAGGTTTGTACGTGGGGTAATTAGCTGGAAAGTAGCAAGCAATTGTGCGATCGCGGTCAACGAGACTCCAACAGCAGTTACGACGGAGGCACTCCGCTTCTGTCGCCATAGGCTCAGGATGGCAGTCCAAACGGCTGGGGTTCGGTACGGCATCGCAGGCGGGGTTATCACTAGCTGCAAAGCAGAGCTGAGAGTGGAAGAGAACAAGGACGAGCAGGAGGGCGTATAATGATGTCCACCACACATTAAATGTTGACATGGCTGTGTGTTTGAACGTGATATACCGCCCCACCGGTGGTTTTATAATCGAGGTTGGATTGTTTACACAGTGTTTTGGACTAACTAATGTAAACATCCGGTGTGGAGACCACACCGCTGCAGCGGTCTTAGCAATCGATACACACTTTTGAAAACATTAGATTAGGGACAACCATAAAGAGGACCGAGCGTCCAAACAACTTCACACTCTAAAGGTGAAGAATAAATGCCGCTAATACAGAGGTGGTACCGATATACCATCTCTTAATCTAAAAAAAACGTTTTGTAGATTTGATCAAATCAGGAAATATCATCGAAATTTGATCCCTATAAAATTGATAGCCGGTCATCACAAGATCCATATTGCTAGGCGTGTGGATAATATGCAAAGCGAAACTTTAAACTGTAGCCAAGGCGTTCATTGTATATTTAATCGACTGGCCTCATACAGGCAGCAATAAAGCGCGTTATGGATTCAGATTTCATAAATCTTAAGAAATGCCGCTAAATGCTAAAAACGCTGCTGCTTTCTTAATTGAAAACGTTTACTTAATTTCCATAAGTAGCACGAGTGGCTTTAAATCGAATGGAAATGTTCAATTTGGAATTTCATTACTCCTATCCTTATAATGAGCTCTTAGAATCTGCAAAGGAATAGGTGGAAAGACATATTTGTCTTATTTTGAATGATTTCGCACCATCTTTAGCGCATAAACCTGTTTGCAAGATGTTGAACTCCTATTTTTTTACATGCGTGGATGCGATTAAAGGAAACTTAACTGCCTTTTGCTACTACAGAATTCTACCTCAGCTTGGCACTTCAACACACCGTGCTAGTGAGCACCAGAAAGCACTTCGTATCCAGACTTACTTATTACGAAAGAAATTGTCAGAGCCAATGCTGTCACATCCACCACACCTGCCTTAACCGAAACAATAATATTGCATATCGTGAAATTATTAGCTAACCTTGGTGAATAGTTAACATTTGAGGCCTCATTTATTTGAGCTATCCCTCGTAGAAAACTAACTACTCTCCGTAACACACCTCAAATTAGTCTCTGGATATGCAAAAGCGGTCGCGGTGCACCAACTAAAAAACGGCATAATTCATGAGAGGAACCTTTTATTTTAAACAAGAAGTTCTTTATAATTTCTTTAGAGTTGACGAACATGGTAATTCTCTATTATTTCCATCATCGCGTCTACTAATTCATTCTTATCAAGAAGCTTCAGAACGTGAATTAACCTTGCCGGTGTAGCCTTCGGTCCGGATACCAGAGGCATAAATGTCAGTGTGACGGGCTGCAGCATCGTGGCTTCCACTCCGAAGCCAGCGAGCATCGTCGAAGACTCAGGACCAGCTTCATGGCTAGAATCCTCTGCAAAGTTTTCAATATCGCCAAAACTAGGTGTTGTGTTAGTGGTGACAGTAGCATTGCCAAATGCAGCGGCGGTGCTAGTTAGCGCCTCCGTGTTTGAAGCACCAGGGGCTTGTATTTTTAAATTCATAGCTCTATTAGAGAGATCCAGTCCACTCCAATATTCAAGAGCCCGAGTCACACGTCGACGGAAGTTATAACCACCAGGGAGCTCATCTTCAATGTGTTCAAGCGTATCTTCAGATACTCCAAGGCGTTGTAAAATCTGCATCCAGTCGTCTTGGCTCGCTAGATTTATAAACCTTTCGCACATTCGACGCAAAACGAAGTCTAAAGGCATCAAAGACAGACTGGTAAACTTCTAAACACTTACTACAGGAGCTATCACAGCAAGGACAAAAGTGCTCAAATTGTCCATAAAATCAAACCGAAGCATTATTCTAGCCTTCATGAGGGATGCAATAGAAGATCGCAAGGAGGGAATACCAATTCACTTTAGCCCCACCTTTAGTGTTTCCCTGCTAATAGCTTCTCTTTGGTTAAATGATTACTCCTTTTGGAAGTTTGGAATTTGCACAGCAAGTTTTTATGTCACTCTACTGAAGTTATTTAAGTAGAAATCATAACCATCCTTCACCGATTTGCTCTTTTGTGCGGCTTTGCCTTTACTCCTTCCCTTCCCTCACATCGTACTTAGATAACGCAAGATGCATGACGGAACAGTATAAAGCCAACTCACCCATATTGTGATTCGATGCGTCGAGGTATGCACATAAGCCTTTTAAGTCAGAATGCTTAACGACTTCACACAGGCACGGTGGAAAGTTATTCCCTTCAAGTCCAAGGTATTTAAGATTGGGAAGTCTATGCAGTTCACCATTAATCTCCGTCAGTTTGTTGTTTCTTAAGTCGATATCAGTCAGCGTTTTGCAGGCAACAATAGATGCTGGAATTTTTCTTATGTTATTGTCATTCAGGTAGAGGCGTTTTAAGTACTTAAATCTGTTAAATACATTAGGCAGAAAGTAAAGACCATTATTTTGTAGTGAAAAATGCACTAGAAACTTTAAGCAATAAATGAGCTTAGGAATTCTGTGTGGTTTGCGCTTAAAGACAAGATTTGAAATTTCTTCGTGCTTTATTTTGGGCACTCGTAAAGCTTTTTCCTCAAATTCGAGAGCTTCTTCCAAAGTAGGCAGCTTCTCATCTTCCGACGCCAGCAACTCTATTTCATCGATGTAATTTTTTCCCAACTTTTCCATAGATGCGTTTGGATCTATAAAATCTGTTCTATCAAACCAACCAGGTGGATCGGGTTCCAGATAGGTGCATGCGTGGCAGCAATTATTGTATAGTAGAACTTTTAGGTGCGGTATGTAACAAATGATGATGGGGAAGTGGGAAAACTTGTTGTCAGATAAATCGAGGTAGTTGAGGTTTCCGAGGCGATGCATGGTTCGTGGCAATTTCAAGAGACTATTCGAACAAAGTCTGAGGGCGCGCAACTTCGTCAGTCCCCCCAATTCATCGGGCAACTCAAAAATGTAGGGGCAATGCGAAATTGAAAGATGAGTTAAGAACCGTAGATTGCATATTTCCGGTGGGATTTGGAGGATAGGATTATGATCCATAAGAAAGTAGATAAGTTTAGCGTTTTTTGAGAACAAGCAGGAAGGAAGTACCTCAAACTCATTGTGTGATAAATTAATCACACGAAGCCTTTCTGATATCTTTGAAAAATTATTTGGTAAGTCATGAAGATGGTTTTTACACACAGATATGGCAATCAAATGCTCTAATTCACAAATCCAATTCGGAAGTGTCGAGATTTTATTATTTTTCAAGAAGAGCGAAACAAGACTCTTCAGATTCGTTCCATCAGAGGGTATGGACGTGAGCACGTTACTTGAAAGGTCAAGCACCCGCAGGTTCGTGCACAGACCCAAGTTTGGAGGGACTTGATGAAGTTCACAGGATCCAAAATTGATAAACTTCAGACTTTTGCATCTACTGAATATTTCGTCTGGAATACGACCAATGCTGTTACCCTTAATGTCAAGGAACTCTAACTTTGAAAGGTTTGATAGTTTCCCAGGTAGCTTTGTGAATTTGTTGAATGCCAAGGATAAGATCTCCAGGTCACTTAGTCGGCAAAGATTGTCAGGTATGAAGCCTGATGCTTGATTATAGGAAAACAAGAGTTCCTTCAATGACAAGCAATTAAAAATACAAAACGGAATATATTCGAAGCGGTTGCTGCTTACGTTTAAGCGTTGCAGGCGTTTAAGCAAAGAAAAGGTATTAGGCAGGGTCGTGAGCATATTTCCACACAAAAAGAGTACCTCTAAGTGCAAGAGTTCAGAAATGTTATCTGGAAGTCTGAACAAGGTGTTAAAACTGCAGTCAAAATAAATGAGGCTGCGAAGAGTGAAAAGCTCCCTGGGAAGGTGTGAAATCATATTCTGGCTTAGGTCGAGCACTTGTAGGAACTCAAGGTAGACTATTTCAGATGGGATATTAGTGATTTTATTGCCAGGCAGCTTGAGTACATTAAGCATTCGCAATGAACCTATATCATTAGGAAAATACGATAAGTAATTATAAGATAACTCCAAGTATTTTAAGGTTGAAAGATTTTCGATCGAAGGCAAAAAATCCATCTGACACTCAGTTATGATTAGCATTTCTAAGTTCTCTAGTACGCTGAGTGAAAGCTTCGGTGTACCGACGTGGCACTTTGTTATTACAACAACATTTATTTCAGCATTATCTTGAAGGCTTTCCGCTATGCATTCGTCTGACAAATTCCCAATAAATTGACATCTTCGACCATTTTGTACAAAATTAAACACATTCTTTGAAAGCGGTGAGCTAGTCCTTAAGTTTACAAATCGGCTGCCTTACGTCAAGTTTATATGATTGACTTTAGCCAACGCGTCCATTTCAAACAGCGCGGGCCTGGGATTCTAAGTCCTTTGACCTTTTGATAAATTTACGATCGGTGCAGCGAAAAAATCGAAACACCTGAACCAAAAGTCCGCTTAAAGAGTCTGTACATTTCGGTTCTTAGTGTTAATGGAAAAGAAAGAGCTCCAAATCGTCTCTCGAAACGTAAAAAAAACATTAAAGGTTTTCTAAATGTAATTTCAAATATTACTAATAAATTTTTAGGGTTGAGCTGGTGTGTAAAGGCATGTTATTACTACGCTCAGATACTGCAGGACTACCAAAGTGGATTTTGTGCTCCAAATAGTATGGGAAGTCTTTCGTTTTGTCAATGAGCCATACAATACATGCAGCGATTCCATATGATTACTTAGCTAGCTGTAAGAGTAGCAGCGTCCCGAGACTTCCCATAGGGTGATAGAAGGCAGCGAGGCTGGATGCATGTATTTCAAAGGGGAAAATCAAGTTGGCCTGAGCGTGGCCCGAAGGCCAGCCCACAAGTACAAGGGTCAGACAAATCCTAAAGTTAACGCCGAATGTCAGGTAGCCACATAAACAAAGCATTGAAACAGGTAGATAATATCCATCCAATTCAATTGGAGGTTATAACTATAGTGTCTCGAGATTTCTCCACGTATGAGAAGGCATCACTTTAGACAGAATACAGGAAATCCATTGCAAAGACTCGGGACTTCCCACTGAGCAATCTCATGCGTTGGACGTGACTAATTGCTAGCATCCAAATAAAAAGCGAAGACGGGGCATTGATGTGGGCTGAAGGCCACTTCATGCAAACAAGAGGAGGATGAATACAAAACGGTCATCAGTCACATAGACAGTCGAATAACGGAGCTATTACAGAGAAACTATGCCGTTATATGATAATAACATACACGCATTGTATCAAAATAAACCCCAAAAACGCCTTATTAGGCTTTGTTTTTGTGACCACTTGCATGACTGGCGGTTATTTTTGGCTTTGCCTTGCTTAACTTAGTGAGTAATCCCAAAGACTCACAATAATAGCAGAGCTTTAATTATAAAAAGTGCAAGCCTCGGTTCACTCTACTTCCTATATGAATGCTGTTGCGTCCCGTGTGTTCGTACCAGTCAGGTAAAGGCATTAAGCTTAATAGGGTGCATGTATTTCAGGGCGAGAAAAGGGCTAGGCCTGAGTTTGGTCTGAAGATAATCTCACGCGCACAGGAGCCAGACGAATCTTAAAGTAAGCGC